GAGGGAGGAAGGAGACAGGGGGACGATGGGGCAGAGAACCCCACGTAGTGGGGCATGGGCAGTATGCTAGAGCCCCCCTTTCTGGTACTGAGCAATATGGTTAATATGGCGCGACATTTCATCCGCTGCCGTTTGTTGCTCGTTCGCTTAGTCAGCCCGCTTCTCTCTAGATTTTCTCAAGGGGGGCCATCGGGAGGGGGAGGCACTAAATGTTTAGTAACCAACTGAAATAGTAGCACTCGTGTTAGTATCGGTTCATGAAAAACGAACAGCAGCAAAATAGAATTGAAAAAAATAAATGAAAACCATTTCGGTTTACATAGAGTTTCGCATGTAGCTACACGACTTGCACTTGGATTTGAATATGAATGTGCATACTTATCCACAGATAAGGTCAAAATAATAGCGCACTCAAAGTCACATTGTATTCAAAAACATTTGGATATACGAATCAGTTCAGAAAGAAGTAAAGGATTATTTAATGGAAATATCATATGAAACGTAATTTTTTGACGTTGCTTTTCATTTGAAGTTTTTTGTTTTGGACGACTTTTTGTTGGGTTGAGTACTAAGCCTAATACAAAAAAAGATTTTATTTAAATGGTTAGTTTTTAAGATTTGTTAATCTAGAACTGTGTTTCTTTTTCTCACTTTTCTAATTCTACATAATATGTAGTACATATATTAGAGTCAATCCCTTAAGTTTTAAAGATTTTCAACTTAAGACTTGTAATTATTTTCGGATTATTCTAATATACTGACCCCCGCTGTATCTGCAGGTTCAGGGGCGTGGGGAGAGGGGTCTTCGGGCCCACTGAGAGGGGAAAGTGGTAAGCGAACGACGTCAGCGTAAACTGATTACCACCGGACGATCTATGGAGCTGAACTAGCGGCACGTACGTAGCGTTTTTGGGGCTAAAAATCGAAGTGGGGGTTTACGGGGTTTAGTGCTACGCTGGGAAACCTTCGTTTCGGGAGTTAAGTTCGCCGATGGGGAAGACAGAGGGACTCGACAACCCAAAAGTTCCAGTTAAAACCGACTGCACATAGGAAGTCAGAGTTAAGACTTCAATTACAGTGGGGCACCCATGGGTTGATTGTGAAATTATAACCGAACTAGCATAGGGTTCCAAGAATTGGGCAAGACGAATAGAGCGAAAGAGAGGGAAAAAGCGATTACTAATTAATGGAACGTGCTAGCTCATCTTCGTAAATAACCGTTATACAGTCGAGCTTCTACTCGAATTACTTTTATTCAAAGAGGTAAGAAATTTAAATATTATTATAAAGATATGATACAAACATTTACATTTTAGGAAATTTTATGAAATAATTCATAACTCTTTGTTTTATTTAAGAGTATCAAACATATTATATTTTTAGTTTAATAGTTATTTTTTTTATACTTCCGAAATTGTATTGAAAGGTCAAGATAAGAAATATAAAAATAAAACTTAATTTAGTTTCCCTGCGCTTAGTGTGCCCGCTAATTTAATATTGTGAATTATCTGTTCTACGTTTATTAGCTTATTTGTTTTCCTTTCACAGTTATCTCACTCTGTATATCTTTTCGACTATATCATAATGCACATTCATAATTTACTCATCATCGCAACGATTAATCGTATTCACTCAATCAACTTGGAAACTCGGATTTTATCGTTATCACCAGCCGGCCAATGTTGTTATTGCGAAACATAGTTGGAATTCCGAAACCGAAACTTAGACTCCAACACCCACCGCAAACTGCACGTAGTGAAATTTAGCTGCCAACTAAACCAAACATGCTGCGATCTAGAAAATGTATCTTTCAGATGCACACGCTTTTCCACACCCACACAGCGATGTGTGTCTACAGCTCTATGGAGTCTGCATGAAAAAAAGGCGCACACATAACTTTAGCTTGGCATTCCAAGTGACTTTGCACACGAAAATGAACACGTGCTGCATTCGGCTCGAAGGACCACGGCTGGGGGATAAGTTGGCCAACAGGGGGGTGGTGGAGTGGGAGTGGGCTGGGTCTTGCTGGCTGGCAGCCACAACCACAGACAATAACAAAGGCCAAGTTGAGTGCAGTTAGCAGTTAGCAGCGGTGGTGACTCATGCTCACTCACTCACCAGCTCTCCCTCCCACTCCCACTCACTCGCATTTCGCAGCTGCAGCGGGTTCTCTTCGGGAAGAGCGGGATAGAGTGGATATAGTGCTCCGATAAGAGCGTTTTACTTAGGCGTCTGATTTAAAAAATTAACGACCAACTACTATTATTCAAACTTGACTGCATCGGATTTGTCATAATAATGCATTAAGCCAGCGGAAGCTGCATGCGATGATGCAAACAATATCGTTCATATCTTAAAGTCACTAAAAATTAAAAAAGTCTTAAATGATTGGAATCATTAAAATTACAAATCAAAGAAAATGTACTCACTCATATAATTTTAGATATTTATCGATTTTAAAACTATTTAAAAACATGAATTGATATTTATAAAAAATTATGATTAATACTAAGTCAAATACATGTAAATTTCGCAAAATTAGCTAATTTTTTAGAGGAAGACTTGATACTATTAAGGAAAAATCAATTTTTCCTGTGATAAAAGACAATGAACATATTTGCCAGTGTAACTCCACAAGCTAAAATTTCTTTTACGGAAAAAGTCTATTTAATAATCTTAGTACTAGGATGTTGTCCTCCAAGAATTTTCCCTGTTTTTAAATCTAAGGAGTTTTTAGAATATTTTTTTATAAATTCGACATATGGCCTACAAGTTTTAATATATTAAAGATGGAGAATCAAAACAACAAATTTAAATTAAGCTGGGTTTATTTTTAAAACAACTGACTGTTGCGCTTTTTTCTAAAGTGCCAAATGTTGGTCGCCGTTAGCCATGTCCCACTGTATTACCGAACGACTAACTTAGTTGGTCGCCTGGGACTAAGTGTTTATATGGATGTGGCTGCTGGTGTGGTGTGCTTCTGTGTGTGTTTCGTTTCTGTGGTGCGTCTGCCGGCAACTTTAGTGGCCCCGGCTAACTTTTAGCAAAAGTTTTAGGTTCGAAATACCTGCCACTAACTAAAACCACAGGCACACAGACCTAAAGCACAAGAGCCAGCCGCAGAAGTTTCCACCACGCATCGAACTATGAAAATCAGAAAAGTTTGCAGACAGAAATTTCCAGCAATGCATCCGAACAATGGGGGAAATGGACGCAGTACCTCCCTCCCCCCTCACATGACTTACCGTCCCGCTCGCCAGCGCCATCGTCATTAAAGTTGGGCTTTTCCCTCGGAGTTTAAACGTAAATATTCACAGAATCGTCACAATTACAGCAAATAGAATATAAATCACATGCGCCGCATAAAATAAACTTGAAAATATCAAAGTAACTGTAAACGAACAGCTGTCAAAGTGCGCGGGCTCGAAAGGACAGGGTTGTACTTAGCAAAACAGCTGTTCGCCGACCAGGGTTGCATTTGGGCTACCGTTGAAACAGATTTACAGTGAATACCGCTTGACAAGCACAAATCGATCAAAAAGGTTAAATATTGGAAATGAAGATTTGGGGAACATTTATATTTCACTGTAAATCATTTTAAACAGAAAGTTAGAAATGGCTCTGTAAAAAGCCTTTTACATTTTCGGTAAATTATTTGAAAACGTCAAAACTCAAATAGATAATCTCAAAATCCTCTCATAAAAATTCCGTTAAAATATCTTAATACAATTTGTATTTTTATTAGGGGAGTGTAGGGTAAGGTGACGAACGATTCGTTTTTTGAATGTAACTTTTGTAAAAATCAATATTTTTCAAAAGTGTAAACGCAGAAAGTCGCTTACATCTACTGAGCATATCCCTGTAAAATTCGAAATTCGAAATTCCAATGCAGCTAAATCCCACAGCGTTTGGCGTGAACCCTACTTTTTTTGCACTTTCAAAAGTTGTAGGGTAATGTGACGAACGATTTGTTCTTTAATGTAACTTCTCCAAAAATCAATATTTTTTAAAAGTGTAAAAGCAGAAAGTTGCTTACATTTACTGAGCATATTTCTAAAAAAATTTGGATTCGAAATTTCAACGTAGCCAAATCCCACAGCGTTTGGTGTAAACCATCCTTTTTACAAACAAAAAAATACATTTTGTTATATATTATTTACGGAAAGGTTATTTTCGATAAGAAAAAGAAAAAAGTAATAAGATAATACCCAAACTTACAAAAAAAAAATGGGCAAAGTGCAAATTTTTTTTTAAATTAAATTAAACTGACGTCACTATTAAAAACAACAATAAAACTGCAGCAGTAAATGTTATCTGGTATTATTATATTTTTTTTACAAATAATCAACGATAACAGTTAAAATTCTTGAATAAAAAAAGTTCGTCACAATACCCTACAAAAAGTTCGTCACGATACCCTACAAGGTAGACTTGGAGCAAAAACGGTGTCACTCTCAAACGGCGCAAAAGAAAAAAACGCGAGGTACCAAAAACTGTTGATAAAGATCTCATGTATACGTGCATATATTTGCCTGATTTTATTTTCCACTCATCTTTGCTCTGGCACTGCTGAAACACAAGTAAATTGAATGGGTTTGCTAGTTTGCGCACCACATTTTTAGCGAAAATTACCTCACGAACAAATTACGGGACTTCTTATTAATATTACTGTAAATACATTGTCGACACGATAAGGGGAGACGACTACATTTATTTGGAATTTTTGTCGTGACGTCATATATGAGATTCGACGAGTTCGTCACATTACCCTACTCGTCAAATTACCCTACACTCCCCTATTAAAAAAAAGAATTCAAATTGATGAACTTTATTTTTTTTTTTATTTTTTTCTTTAAAGTTACGGTTTTTGTCAGAAAACTTCAAAATTTCAGAACTTATTTTGAAATATAAAATATCCAAAAAAATAAATAATAATAAACAAAAAAAAAATTTTTTTTGCATTTAATTTAAATAAATGAAAATTTATTAGAATTAACGCTTTATAAATCCTTTTCCCTCTCCTTTAAATTCTCCGACTTTTCCTTGGCTTCCGAGTCCGATTCGGAGGAGGAGGAAACATGTCGCTTTCGGCTTGAGTGCTCCGATGTCTGGGTGCTGGTCAGCATTCTGGCGGAGATGCGCTGGAACCACCAGAAGCGACTGAGATAGGCCTCCGCCCCTCGGCTGATAAAGTAGAGCTGGAGTGGTCGCTTGCTCCTCTGCGGATGCTTCCTTCGCTTGTGGGAGAGCATCAAATCCAGAGCGAAGGTGCAGTGCAGCAGGTAAATGGCACCAGCATAGAGAGCTATAATGGCATTATCCCTGCAGCACATATAAAACGCGGGCCATTTCTCAGTCCGGAACTCCTCCAAAGTGGCCATGTACATGTGGGCATAAACGGTGAACATGTGCAGACCTCCCAGGATCCCACCATAAATGGCTTCGTGCTTCATCGTCGGTCGCTCTGCATAGAAGACTCCAATCAGGGATATAATGCCGATACAAACTGACCCGCCGTAAGTTCCACAAAGCAGGAAAATGTGCGGAACACCTTCCTCCTTGAAGCAGCCCCAGTGGACGATGCAGCATCCCAGGCTGAGCAGCAGCTCCATCAACTTGAACAGGAACCAAACGGGCTTTTTAGAGCGCACCTGCATGTTTTCTCAAATATTTGGATATATTACAATTGCGACACAAAACAGGTAGGGATACATTTAAGTTCTTGATTACAGAATTGTGGCTACAGGCCACCTACGATTAAAGCAAACTTATAACTATGGTAATTATTTTTAAACAGTTCAAATAAATCTTTTAAAATTGTAGGATCTTGAAGTAATTATTACTAGACATCGGATTTTAGGTGAAATCGTTTTTTTAAATACGATTTAAAGCCACATTTGATTGGTTACAAATTTTATTTATTAAGTTATAATTAGATTTAGGCAAAACTTGATTGCGGTTTTTGTACAAAAATGTTAACCAATCAAATGTGTCGCTTAATCATATTTAAAAAAATCGATTTCACCTAAATGCGATGTCTAATTATTACATTTTAATAAGTAAAGAAAGGCATAAAATAATATGCCCTGCATATTTGGTTATACTAAACTATTTTACACTTTTGATATTTAAACTTAAGGTTTTTTCAACTCAGCAAAATGTTTATAGATTATTTTTTCCTCCTACAATTTTCTTATCAAAGTGAGTAGACATTTACTTCCGCCAGTACTGGGTGAATCGATGGATCTGCTCCACCAACGCGGGCATTACGGCCGTGATGGACACATCCAGCAGACTCTGCAAGTGCTGCACGGCCTCCTCGTCGGTCAGACCGAGCTGCAGGTTCTCCTCCACCTTCTTGACCGCCTTGTCGGGCTCCAGCGCGATATCGGGAACAGTGGCATCCACCATGAGGGAAAATAGATTGAGCATTACGTTGGCATGCCGACGCAAATGCAAATAGGCCGTGTAACATTGCTTGCGGAACTCGTGGTGGTGCTCCGAACTAATTCCGCCCATGGCCTCCACCATTTCCTTGCTCAGCTTCATGGGCGGCGGCATGGGCTTGGGATCGCGGCCCAGAATGTAGCCGAAATCGATGTGGAAGAGCTTGCCGTTGGTGGTCAGCAGGAGGTTATCCAAATGGCGATCACCCACGCCTGAAAATGCAAGGATTTAAGATAAATTCTAATAAATAATTTAGTAATCTTACCCAGCAAATAGGTGATCACACAATAGCCAGCACAGCTTTTAATGTACGTGTCCATGACCTCCGCCGAAATGCCATAAGGGCCATTATCGCAGGGATGGTGTTTCCGGAAGAAGTTGTGGATATTTCCCTCTCTCGCAAGAACCTCTGCCACCGTGCATGAGTCCACATACTGCAGGAATCCATGTTTGGAGCTGGTGGCCAGCACTTTGTAGGGAGTGAGCTTAAGATCAAGGTTCTCTCGTCTTAACAATTTGTCCATTAGAGTGATCATCTGCAAAATGAGCTGATCCTGACGTAGATCATCGCCGTGTTTGAATATAGCAGCGTATTCGTGATGCGCAATTGAAGTGACAAAGGTGAGTCTATAAAGATTTATAGCATTAACTAGTGATTCATCAATTTGGTTTAACCTACTTGGCTGGCATTAAAGCGCTCTTAAAAAGCGATGTGCGCATGGGTACGATCTTGGTGATGTAGATCTCTGGATCCAGGGGAAATGGAATCGGCTCAAAGTTGGTAAAGTTCACCTTGAACATGTCTTGTTCGGCCAGCAGCTTCTGGAATTTCTCCGTCTTCTTATTCCGATTTCCCGGCTCTTTGGCCACCAGTTTCACCAACTTGACCAGCTCGTCGATGAAGCGGCGCTGCTTCCGGAGATTGTAGAAGATGCCACGGAGGTTAAAGTTGCCTGAAAAATATTTTAATAAATTATAGCAGTCAGCTTTCTATTATAAAAGGAAAACCTACCATTTTCTAGAACTTTCAGAAACATCTTGAGCACCATGGCGTACATGTCGTGTGCCTTCTCATCCTGCTTCCTCACCGACTCCACCTCCTCCACTTCGATGGACAGGTACCAGTAGAAGTAGTTGGCCAGCGTGGCGTTGGTGCAGGCGCGCTGGATGAGGAATGTGCAGAGATTGGCTGGCACGCTGCCAAAGCTGATACCCTCGGCCAGCATGAGGGCATTGGAATTGGAGTCGCAGGGCAGGGAACTGCTACCCGGAGTGGCGGGTGCCGAGGGATTCGGAATCGCCACCGAAAGCTGACCCGCAGATCCAGGACTCACGGACTTATCGCCCTTGATGGCGGCCAAAACGCTGGCTGCTCGCTGATTGGCCGGTATCACCGAGGCGTGGAGTCCACTGCTGGTGGCACTTAGATCGGACAGGCTGCTCTGATCCAGCAGTGAGCCATTGTCATCCAGAATGGAACGCACCACGTCGCGCTCGGGAAAGATGCAGCCGTGCAGGTGGACAATGTGCCGCGGATCCTCGTACTTGAGCGCCTGTACGAGCTGCAGCAGATAGAGCAGCAAATCCTCGTCGGGAGCCTGGGCCAATCGACTCACAGCATACTTTCGCACCTGGGGATGCGTGAAAGTGGGGCTCAGCAGCTCCAGGGCATCCTCCACATCCATGGGCGCCCAGTTGGCCAGCATCCAAAGGGCTTGAGTCACCTCGTCCTCCAGCTTCCAATTGATGCACTTCAAGAACTTGGTCAAGGCCTTTTTGTGAGAGGAGAGGTAGAACCGGAACTTCCACAGCAGATCCTGCTCCTCGCTGGTCAGGACATAGGTCGGTGGATACCTATAGACAATGGTGTGAAGCTGATCGCGAATGCTGCGGGATAGGGATTAATGAGTGGGGTTTTTATATTTGCAGATGGGTTGCCCTACCTTGCTGTGGGTTTGGCATCTCTGTCCGAGATTCCCGAACGCTCTGAACGGGCCAAACGATGGTGCTTCCTCTCCACCAGGTTTTCCTGCAATGGAATAGGGGATTAATCCTAAACAGGTCTCGGAAAATAACACACACTGTAGAAGACTTGTGTTATTAACATGTTAAATGTCAAAAAAAGATATTGACTTGTGTGTAAAAAATTGTACCTTGTGTTATTTACACGACTTGTTATTAACACGATGTATTTTAAACACAGCGTGTGTTTAACGCAATGAGTTTCTGACATTAAAGTGAACTGAAATAAAACACGGCTTTCTAGCAGGGACCGTAAATAATCATTATTTGAGATTTTTATTTTAAAAGGCCTAAATGAGGTTTTTACAAGTTTTAATCAACAATTTAACTGGTTTTTATGCACTTTATAGACATGAACAAATAACAGTTAATTGGCTTTCCAGATTTGTTGAAATGCATATACTTTGTGGACAAGAGTAAAAAGAACGTTATTTTTGACGTTTAAAACAAAATATCACAGTAGCCTTTTTAAAATAAAAAATCTCAAATAATGATTATTTACGGTCCCTGCTTTCTAGAGTTTAAGAATTTATATATGCATTGAAATGGTTAAAACTAACATATAAGACTATATTGGTTTTTCATTTTCCCTTCGACTCGTTAATGTCAGTAAGATGTAATTTTCATTTGTGTTAAAAACACAGTGTGTAAAGAACACCTCGTGCTAATAACACAAGTGAGCTGTGTGTGTTAACAATTATTTTTCACATTTTAACACTTTTGTATTTGACACACATGTCAAAAACGTTGCTCACACTGTAAAATACAATTGTTCATGTTTTTAACATGTGTGTCAATTTCGGAACCCTGCTCCTAAATGCCTTGTCTTTTAATAATCATAAATACCATTTGAATCTCTGAATCCGGTACGGATACCAACTTGGGCTTGGCCGGCAGCTTGTATTTGACATCGCCCTCGGGCTCAAAGTAGACCACGGCATACTGTAACAAAGAATATAGTTAAGAGCTGGCACAGATTACGTATTTAAGGCCTTACATTATACATATCATCCACCACGATGGCGGGAAACTCGATCATGAGGAACATGTAGTCGGACATGCGCTTCTCGCGCTCGTTGATCACCTCGATCTCGCGGAACGTGAGCCTGTCCAGCCAGTCGACCTTCTGCACCTGCCCGTTGCGATGCTTCTTGGCCAGCTTCCCGAGGCGCTGCATCTGCGACTTGGAGGACTCCTTGCCCTTGCCGGGCGTCCGACTGGGAAAGCTGCCGTCGCCCTCGACGCCCAGCCAAACGCGCAGATCGTACATTCCCTGGCGGAACATGCCGTCCTTGCCGAACACCGAAATGGAGGTGCCACCAATGACGGTCGTTTGGCCGGCGCCCGAGCAGTCCAGGATGGTCAGGACGAGCATGGCGCTGCGCGGCAGATCGGAGAACTGCAGGGGCAGCGTGACCCACTCGTTCCAGCTCCATCGCTTGCCGAATGCCTTGTAGGAGCTGGTCACCGGGAGGCAGTAGGGCCTGCCCTGGTTGAACACCTGCAGGCGCACCTGGAACGAGGGGTACTCCTCGGAGTAGAGGCCGGAGAATCGGAGGATCGGGTCGTCCAGCAGTTTCTCATAGTCCGGCTGGCGCTTCTTCCCCTCGAGCGTCCCACTGAAACACAGAGATTTTCCCTTGGAAAAGCAGTTTCTCAAGGTTTTCCTGGACATTTTCCACTTACACCTTGATCTGCACACGTTCGTGGAGCGAGGAGCTGTGTATGTAGCGGAAATGGTCGTCGGGCTGGTCCATTTTCCTGCTGCCAATTCACTTTTTCATTTATGCGTAATTTTCACGGAGCTGCAAATGCAACAACAACTGCCCACAACAGAAAACAGCTGATGGCATGGCGACGCGGCGAAGTACAGTGGGCTCTGGCTAAAAGGTTTGTTAAAATGAAAAATTACTAAGAAACTTGATTTTCCTAACAAAAAAAGTAGGTAGAAACCCTTGTTGCGTAGTTTTGTTCTTGTTTATTTATTAAAATTATATAAATAATTTAGTATGAACGATAAATTTAACATATTTTTTTTATAGATAATAGCTTTTATATTTTTTAATTTACAAAATGTTGAATAATTTTGATACATACTGCGGATATTTAAATTAAAATATTTAGAATTCAGAATGTTTGAAATTAAATTACAACAAATTTATGAAGTACCACTGCAGAACACATATCGATTAAAATATCGATGTTACAAGCCAACGATCTCTTAATCGATATGTTCTGCAAGTCATTTCGCGCTTAATAATATTTTCGAAATGTATTAAATCGGAAAATAAATATCTGTAAACTTCTTTTAAATTTTATTTATGCAATCAGAACATCCTAGTGCTACAAGTTTTTACAAGCAAACTTTTTAAAGGAGTAGAAAAAGGTAGCAAGAGATCATTTTTAAGTTTTACAGAGTAACTATAAAAAACTCATTTCTAGATATATCCGTCACTAGGGTAGGGTTATTGGATCTTATAATGCTTCACTATTTTCGTTATCTAAATGAGATTCCATTTCAAAGCTTAGCTCCTCTGGGTTGCAATTCTGATCTGGTCGCGAGTCATCGTTGTTAAGGTTTTTCTCCTCCTGCAACTTCTTAAGCTCATCCTTCTTCAAGCGCTTAAAAAATCCAAGCTAAGGAGAAATTAAGATTTTAGAAAAGCAAATTATATTACAACAATTGTTATACACACCTTGTGAAGACCATAGGTTATCGTAGCAAGCAACAGCAATCCACCAATGAGAGCCAATATTAAATACCAGATGGGAAGTTCAGCCTCTAGATTCTTGAATATCACATTTGGTTTAATCTTTCGATTAATCACAAAGGAACTCAATTGGGGATCACCCTTTTTGAAGAACTTAAAATCGGTCAGAAGAACAAAGTACTCGAAGGGATCGATAACGTCACTCAGATCCACTTTGAAGTTTATGTTTACGCTAACAGGTTTATTCGGTCTCATTCGTAGGCGCATCTCTGATCGAACGCAGATCGTCCTGTTGGTATCCTTACAGTTGAGAACGAGAGTTCGAATCGTTGGCAAATTATCCATATCCTTGATCTCGACATCCGTCGAGTTGTCAATATCTCTAGAGGAAGTGGTGATCAGGTCATAGTTCTCATGATTCTGATCGTATATCTTGATGGGCAACGAATGGGAATCGTAGGTGGCCTCCATCTTCAGACTGTTTACATTAATGATGGGCTGAACCACCTTATCGATCTTGAAGGCAATTGGAATGAAAAAGAGCAGTGTTAGCTCTTGTATGGTACTGGGTCCATGGCTTTTGACCTCGTAATGATTAATAACTTCCGCGGAGTATGGGGGTTCTTTGAGAGCAAGTTGTCCGTCTGTCGGACCCCTAAGAATAAAATAATTAGATGTAAGAAATCTCTATCAAATTCCACCCTATATTATATTGAATCTTACCCACTGACATCGATTTCGGCAAACTCCTTTAGCCAGATAACGTTGGTCTGCTGGTTGTCCGTGGAATTCTCGTCGATTCCCGTACTGATTACAGCTGCGTCGATGATCAGTGAATCTCCACTGAGTTGGCTCACATCGAAAGTAATAATAAGGGAATCGCTGTCACCTTTGACCAGCGGTCGTCCGTTGTTCAGGTCGCACACCATTACTGCCTTCCTTACCCGACAGTTTCCAGGAACCTGAGCAAAGGGCAGGCGGGAGGAGCTGGTCACGTTGAGTTGGGGCAGGTAGGCGGTCTCTCCGTGGTTGGTGACCTCGTAACTCAGGCGCAGGGTGTTTGTAGAGCCCAAAGTATAACTAGGTCTAAAGAAAGGATACTAATTAAATCGAAATCTTTACCAAACATGACCAAGCTCACTTCACATGCTCGCTTCTTAACTGAAGATCAGGAACACAAACATCTGTGGAACATCCCGTAATAAAGCTAATCTTCTCCGTTGAATATGTTTTCGGTTCGGATGGATCCACCATCGCGCAGGTTTCGCAGAACACTACAGAAGGTATGATTATTAGCTGAAAACCCCTACATATTAAGTCCGAAACCCACCCTCCGAGTTGGGAACTTTGTTCGTTAGCTCATAGTGGATTTCCAGATCGATGGGTTTGACTAGATCCTTCTCACTGTATAGCACCTTGACCTCAAAGTCCCGGCACTGCTCGTCGAGAGTCGCATTCACCTGGAAGCTTACCTCGTTGGTCTGCGTCTGGGGGAATTCAACCCGCTTTAGCAGCTTGTCTATGGAAATCCGGATGTCCAGCTCCTGCTTCTGGACCTCCTTTGTCTTGGCTGGGGAACTCAGTCGGTAGCAGGCGGAGATCTTCACCTTATCCTGCTGCGGTTTTATCTCTCGCGATTCCGACCTCACTGTCGCATGAATTTTAACCACCGGATAGGTGCGGTATACATATAAGGACTCGGCATTGGGGGCTCCGATGGCCAAGTCGTTGAATCCGTTGCCATCTATGTCCGATCCTCGGGAGAGTCCGTGTCCGAACATGTACGATCCGTACGGGGAAGGCTGCTGGGAAGGAGCCTCCAATCGCTGACTTGGTTGATCCCGCAGTCCATCTTCGCTACCCAGGTAGATAAAAACCACTCCGTTTCCTGCAAAGGGAGCTCCAACGGCCACGTCTGTAACAGAAAATAATATTTAATACGTTTGGAAATCTTTCAAAATATATGTTATATATAGGGGAGTTATAGGGTAAAGTCCAATCACGAGATTTTAAAACGTTAGATATGTGAGTTTGCAAAATGTGATATACGAATGAGAAAGTTGATAACATAATTAAACTTTGGAACCAGATTTTTATACCCGTTACTCGTAGAGTAAAAGGGTATACTAGATTCGTGCAAAAGTATGTAACAGCTAGAAGGAAGCGTTTCCGACCCCATAAAGTATATATATTCTTGATCAGGGTCACTAGCCGAGCAGATCTAGCCATGTCCGTCTGTCCGTCTGTCCGTCTGTCCGTCTGTCTGTCTGTCCGTCTGTCCGTCTGTCCGTCTGTATGAACGCTGAGATCTCAGAAACTACAAAAGCTAGAAGGTTGAGATTTCCCACACATATTCTTTGGCTTCCTACGCAGCGCAAGTTTATTTTACCCGAGCGCCACGCCCCCTCTAACGCCCACAATCGCCCACTAACGATTTTAAAATGGGTCCTGCGCCCACATCTTTAAAGATTTCCGAGAAGTATAAATGCAATTTTGTTGTGTATATTTATACCTATCGAAATGCGGAAGACATTTTTCAAATCGGACCATTCATTAAAAAGTTATACGCAATCAAAAATTATATATCTATCTCCCTCGCACCCCCTTTAGCTGCATTACGATTATTAGTCGGGACACCAACCCGACACAGCGTTCGCACTCACTTTAGCTGAGTGACGGGTATTAGATAGTCGTGACAACAACCCGACTATAGCGTTCTCTCTTGTTTCTAAATCGAAATATACTAGTGAATTAAAAAGTATAATACAAAATTATTCTTCTAATTTAGCTTGATAAAAAAACGTTATTTTAAGAATTTCATTTAAACTTCCAAAAAACTTCATTAAATCTGTATTTATGATTAATTTGACTATCGCACTATTTATAAGTTATCAACTTGTAGCGTTAGGAAAGCATTTTTAAAATAAATTGAAATTGAAATACAGAACTTTAGACCTCTAAAATATCCCTCATAATATACATAACGACTCACCATTGTATCCGTCGTGATTAATATCGCCCAATCTGGAAAGAGTGGTTCCGAAACGCCCCTTACTGCCAACTGGCGACCAAATAATCTTCTGCTTAAAGTTGAACTGCAAAAAATGGATTAAAAACTGACTAATATTTAGAAACTCATTTCCTTACCAGGCCTTTATTGATAAAAACGTAGATAGCTCCAATGTCATATGAATCCCCCCGAGCTTTTAGAGGCGCTGATACGACTATGTCCGTTAGGCCGTCTCCATTGAGATCCTCCACCAGAACGGAGTAGCCAAAGTATTCGCCCAACTGCTCTCCGTGAATCCTACTGAGGTTCCTGCCCGAAGCATCGCATATATAGGCCTCTCCGGCCCGAGGAGCAGTGGTCACGTACAAAAGGGTAGACTGGTTATCGATCTTAAAGTATCCAGAACTTACGGCGTAGCCAAAGTACGAGTCTTCCTGCTGTCTCCAATGGGCAGATTCGAGAATCAGTGGGTTATAGGCTCTCTTTTCCCGCTGGTGCAGGATCACAGCTCCTTTCCACTCATCAATACCTGGGGCTCCGATCACGAACTTGGAGTTGTCATCCGTCACATGGGCACTGAATCCCACTTCCCCCATGTAATAATAGCTACTCTTATCGAAGTGCACCTGTTTATCAGGATTCTGGAGTGGCGTGATGGGATTAACCTTTTTTCGACCTGGCAAGGTGTTACCAATCCAATAGCAAACTCCGTGCATTCTGCCTTGTGTATCGTTTGGTATTGGGTTATAGCATCGCGGGGCACAAACGAGGAGCTTATCGGTGTCCTTTGTTCCACCGTCCATTGATCCACCCAACCACTGGTGGTACTTGTCCTTCAGCTTAAGGGTTAACCATTCTTTTTTTGGGTCAGTATTTCCCTCGTTGTCCAGGACATAAGGAACGCAGGTTCCGTTTTCCAGGGAGCAACCAAATATGGCTCCCGGCTCATCAATGTCCTTCTGCGGTTCCAAGGTAGATTGGGCCCGAGGAGCTCCCACAAAAATGCTGCATTAACAGATTAGTTATGATATCAAATCGTTTTATAGCATAGGTATCAAATTTAATTCTAAGCGTAACAAAATTTGTAAAAATTAGTCGGTGGTAAAAAAACTAGAATTTCTAAATTGATTAAATTGATAGATAGATTTGATAATCTCACTATTCCTCCGACTCAGGAACCAAATTTCCTTCGAAAAGTTTTTCACTGCTTAAAGTTCTGGATTCGTATTGTAAAATTATTTTAATTACAATATTCCAAAATGATTTTTATAGATTCCACTTTACATAGATCACAACTTACCTATTTGGACGCATGACGAGCGAGAACCCAAAGTAGGAGCTTCGCGTTTGGTTTAAGTGGGTTTTCAGATGCTTTGGAAAATGTATCACTCTATTAGCAAGTGGCGAAAAATTAAAGGCTTCGGTCTGGAATTTTAAGCTCAGAAGGACGAGGAATAAAAAGAAAGACATATTTCACTTAATACAATTATTTAGGCTTAAGAACCAGAGCCCTGAGAAACTCGAAATGAAATGAAATAAATAAAATGAAACTGAAATGAAAGAAACAAGCTTATTTCCATATCATTTCCGCATTTCCGTTAGTAATCGCAAAAACCGACAAATGGAATAAACGTTCAAAAAGTTTTTAAGCAAGAAGTCAACTCAGATAGTCAAAATTACTCAAAGTTGTAATGATTATTTCCATTCCATTTTATAAACAAACAAAAACTTTAGATATACTAATGTTTTTATGCTTACTTAAATACTTAGAATACAATATAACAAGAAATTTTGATAGTAATTCTAAGACCATTTATAACATTTTCAGTCCCCTTAACTTTATAAAGTTTTTGAGGTCGTATGTTTAATTTCTCAATATCGAAACATTTTTTCTTAATTTTCCTATTCCATTCAAGTTCCAGCAGACCTCGTAGATGCTGCCAGGGGCGTTGTATCTGTGGATCAGCTCTCCAGTTTGGGTGCTCCAGATGTAGATACACTGGTCAAAGCTGCCAGAGGCCAGATGCCGGCCATCCGGACTGAAGGCCACCGTGAAGATCCGATCCCTGGGTTCGTTGAGTGTGCGAATACAGCTGCCCGTGTCGACATCCCACAGCCTGACCGTTGAATCCAAGGAGGCGGAGGCCAGGATTCGTTTCTCCTTGGAGTTACAGGTTCTATCTCCTGTGGGCGACCATGCCAGCGCAGTGATGTCACCGGAGTGACCCTGCAAAGTGCGGCAGCAGCGATCACTGCTCAGATTCCAAATCTTTAAGGTTCTATCATCGCCACCGGAGGACAGCAGTTCGCCCTGCGGACACCACCTGACCGCATTCACATGGCCCGTGTGTCCAGTGAATCTTCTAATGGGTTCCTGCACTCCCAGATATCGTTGGACAGCCAGTCCACAGCCAAAACTGGAGCACCGCAAGGAGCAAACTGTTGCCGGCAAAGACCAGTGGCTACGTCCCACACCATTGCGGTTTTCTGCCCTCCGCCGGTGAGGATGTGGTTGCCGCACTTGCTCCACTTGAGCACAAAAATTGAGGTGTCGTGTGGCTCCAGAGTGGTTTGCAGGATGCAGTTCGTTCTCCAAATCCTTACGTGGCCATCGTGACTTCCAGTGGCCAGCAGATTACCAGTGGGCTGCAGAAAAGATCAAGGGATCAATGATTGGCTGGGACCGATTCATTTCACTTACGTGCCAGTCCAGAGCAACTACATCCTTGTGGCTGGGCACCTCGATGCCATCCTTTATGAGGCAATGGCGGAGCGTCACCATAAACGTACCGGATGAGTCCCACATCCTAGCGGAGCCATCTCCAGAACCGCTGGCCAGTGAAGTATCATTAGTGGGACTCCATGCGCAGACGTACACATCGCTCTCGTGACCCCGCAACTTACGAGCCACTATCTCCATGGTTATTTCGAAGTCAACAAATACTACCCAAGTTTAATATATATTTATTTAAACCGGAAAACCAAGATTAAACCATGATTTAACATGCAACAATTATCATTTTAGATCGCGGAAAAGTAATCGATATCGATAAATCAAAACAGTGTTCATTAACTAATGTGGAAGGAATAGTAAAACCTTTTTTTAATTCCAAAATAGAAGTATAACTGTAAATTAAACTTATTGAATCAAATATTAATATTATAACACGGTTATTTCCTAGTTGTATATAGTTTAAATTTAACTAAGTGAAGTTTTTAACTAAAAGCTCATTAACTAATGTGGAAAGAATATAAAAAACTCCACTCTATGATTAATAATAATTTCCTTGTTTTTATTAAATTTACAAACAGTTAGTTAATTAAAAAACCATACATAAAACAAATAAAAAATTATTCAAATTATAACAAGGTGATTTTCTTGTTGTATCTTGTTTGAATTTAGATAAAAACCATTTCCTGACAATTAAGTTTTGAACATTAAATTTAGTTTATTAAAAATAAAGTTTTAATGGACTACGTTGTTTCAAAAAAATTAAATTTCTCGAATTTCAAGTTCACTCTAACCGATAACCACTGTATTTGCGGCGAAGTACTGGAACCGGAACCAGAACCGATTCCGAAACCAAAACTGGTTCCGCGGCGCGCGTGTTTAGCCAGCTGTTGCTCATTCGCCTCGCTCAAATCGAACTTTTTGTTTACCTCGCTGGAAACCAATTTAAATTGAATTAAGAGATGTCCACCAATGCTGCGATAGAACTGGCCCTGGATCGGGTGGACTGGCGCGACCTGGCCGCCCACGCGGATCACCTGCCGCGCGTCTACACACCCGGCGAGGTTCTGATGCCGGAGGCGGGATTCATGCGTGGTCACGGAACCTTCGTGGAGGACGAGAACATCAAGGCATCGGTGGCCGGGGTGATCCAGAAGGTCAACAAGCTGATCTCGGTGCGTCCGCTGAAGAGTCGCTATGTGGGCGAGATCGGCGACGTGGTGGTGGCCCGCGTCAGCGAGGTGCAACAGAAGCGCTGGCGCGTGGACACCAATTCCCGGCTGGACTCCATCCTCCTGCTCTCCTCGGTCAACCTGCCGGGCGGCGAACTGAGGCGCAGATCCGCCGAGGATGAGCAGATGATGCGACGCTACCTGGACGAGGGGGATCTCATCTCCGCGGAGGTCCAGGTGGGTATTTTACTTAAGGGGAAAGGTAGGGTCTTTGGCACCAAAAAATCAACCACTTCGCGATTTTTTCTATAAAAACTGGTTGGATGGATTTAATTCAAACCTTTTGTTTTTTATTACCTATCATTTAAGTAACATCCACAAATTTTTATAGCCGATACTATCGGCTAATATATCGGTGGCAAAGCGATTGCTGGAATACTATTAAAAAAAAGCGTTTTGCTCCGCTAAAAATGATCGGATTTCCCGCCCCCTGGGAAGCCCTTTTTTTCATTTTTTTTTTGAGAATTTTTTTGAGATTCCAAAATCAAAAATGCGTTTTTCACCTAAAAAATTTGACTTTCGGCTTTAAAAAAATACTTAAAGTTTAAAAACTAAAAAAAACTCTTCCCAGGGGGCGTGTTTTTTTTATGCAGAAAAATATGCGACAAATTTGAAACTTATGTACCTAAAGTCTTAGAGGTTCGGGTACTAATTTTAGCATAACTTCTAAAGTTTTTTTCCGATTGACTTAAAACCTTTTTTGTATAATCTCTAGATGTTAATCTACGAGGAAAAAATTAAAAAAAATCGATTTATTTTTTGTGCAAGACCCTACCCCCCTTAATAAGTAATCTAAGTCCTTTGCTAACTGCAAATTTTCCCACCAGAACATCTTCGAGGAGGGCACCCTTTCCCTGTACACGCGCAGCTTGAAGTACGGCAAACTGTCGCAGGGCATCCTAGTCAAGGTCTTTCCCGCTCTCGTCAAGCGGCGCAAGATGCACTTCCACAATCTGCCCTGCGGCGCCTCCGTGATCCTGGGCAACAACGGCTACATCTGGATATCCCCCACCAAGGGTCAGGAGCAGGAGGGCGGCGAGGGAGGATTTGCGCTGAATTTGAACGAGCATGTGCCTCGCGCCGATCGGGAAGTGATTGCCCGGCTCAGGAACTCCATCCTGGCGCTGGCCAAGTGCAAGCTGATGATCTACGACACCAGCATCCAGTACGCCTACGAGGAGTCCCTCAAGTACGAGGCCCACGAGCTGCTCCAACAGAATGTCATCTACGACATTGGCGAACAGACGCAGGCTCGTCTGAGGGACGCCGACGATTAGTTTGGCAATTGTGTAGACAGTTAAGGTAAATAAATAGAGGTTAAAGTCTTTTCTATTTCGAAAATGTTACTTTATATTCTTCGGTTATTAGGGTTGGGAAGGTCACAAGGTATCAAGAACATATACACTTTAGATCGGAATCGTTTCCTTCACTGCGTTGCAAACTTTAACTAAAATCATAATATACATCGCTTTAGTTGGAGCCTATGTAATAACTTGGATCAATTTATTGTTATCGCGAATTGTATCCTTAATCCAGTCCAAGAAGTGCGTAACATTTGTGTAATCATCATAGGTACGCATAACGTGGCAAAATCCAGTTCCAAAGCTATTCAAACCAGGGACCGTAAATAACACCAGTTTACAAAATAAAATCGACCTCACCCTAATCGAAGGCAACCTTAATTTTCCGGTAAAGTACATCTCCCTGATTAAGAAATGGGCACTTATAATTTTTTGTATGGTGTCAATTTTTTTTAAGTGTAAAAAACGTTTTTGGCCCTTTTTTATTTTTTATCTCGAGTTCTGGTAAACCGACTGAGGTCATCGATGACTCATTTTACAGATAATATACTGCTCTTTAACTTTCTTATACACAGCATTGAGTTTCAGTCATTAGTTTAGAAGCCACACCTCGTCAAAGTTAAAAAACTTGAAAAAAATGCAAAAGTTTTGGCATAAATGGCTTCGTTAAAAATACACGCAAAAAAACCGAAATTAGTTTTATAACTTATTCTGGTAGATGGTACTTTGACAAAAAAAACAAGCTAATGATCATTAGAATCCACCAGAAAATGAATTTTATATGAATATTTTAAGTTTGGGATAACCATGATTTTTTGGCCGTTTACAGCTGTTAACTGAGACAACAGGTCTCTGACAGGGCTCTAACAGGGCTGTAATATCCGTTTTGCCCAACTTAAAAAATCGATATAAAATTCATTTTCTGGTGGATTCTAATGATCATTAGCTTGTTTTTTTTGTCAAAGTACCATCTACCAGAATATGTTATAAAACTAATTTCGGTTTTTTTGCGTGTATTTTTAACGAAGGCATTTATGCCAAAACTTTTGTATTTTTTTTAAGTTTTTTAACTTTGACGAGGTGTGGCTTCTAAACTAATGACTGAAACTCAATGCTGTGTATAAGAAAGTTAAAGAGCAGTATATTACCTGTAAAATGAGTCATCGATGACCTCAGTCGGTTTACCAGAACTCGAGATAAAAAATAAAAAAGGGCCAAAAACGTTTTTTACACTTAAAAAAAAATTGACACCATACAAAAAATTATAAGTGCCCATTTCTTAATCAGGGAGATGTACTTTGCCTTCGATTAGGGTGAGGTCGATTTTATTTTGTAAACTGGTGTAATCATTATTTGAGATTTTTATTTTAAAAGGCCTACTGAGGTTTTTACAAGTTTTAATCAATAATTTAACTGGTTTTTATGCACTTTATAGACATGAACAAATAACAGTTAATTTGCTTTCCAGATTTGTTGAAATGCATATACTTTGTGGACAAGAGTAAAAATAACGTTATTTTTGACGTTTAAAACAAAATATCACAGTAGTCTTTTTTAAATAAAAATCTCAAATAATGATTATTTACGGTCCCTGATTCAAACCGAACTGAAAGAAATTTAAAAATGTTTTTCCTTGTATTTTTTATGATTTTTTGAATGGAGACATCTCAGTAAAATTTTGTATGAAAAGGAAGAAAAAAATCGAAATATCATAACAACGTTGCAGGGTATCCTGAGTTCCCCGTATATGAAACGCTGGTTAAGCCGCGTTTACAAATCTGAGACTGATCGGAATACGCACCAAGCGCAATAAAAAAGATTGGGATTATACAAATTTTTCAGAGCTTTGCTGATTTGACTTTACAAAACTAGAATACCCTCTGCAAGGATGAAAAGAACATAATTATTAAAAAATCTCTGGGTATTCCCTAAACTGTTAAATTGTTGAAAACTCAAAAGAGCATTTTTAAAAGTCTCGAGAATTGCTGGAAGTTGAATCCCCTTACTGTAAACAACTCTTCTAAAATCGATTTAAAAAACATTTTAAAGTGCGCGGTGCATTTTTGAGGAAACACTTTGTAGTTCTACGAAAAACCTGAAAATCATAAATTTCTGATTATAGTCAGTTAAAATGTTGATCAGGTGAACGTGCCCAATTACTAATTTTTTTTAGAACCATTTCGGTGAGAACAGGGTTTAGTCGAGACACACTGAAACTATCGGCAAAGCGCCTATCGATATACTCCGTTGGCCCTGGACCGAGTGGCTGCACCGATGTGGCAACTCTCGAGCGGTTTGTGCAGTAGAAAAGACGCCAAGCAGATTGTTTTCCTCGCTTTTCCAATTTGTGCCCACTTCGAAGTGAATTTTCGCGTTACTTACCTGAGCCCGGTTTCGACTTGGTTGCAATCGTCGCGATGGCCGAGATACTGGAGGCTCGCGAGTCGCTGATGACCGAAAAGAAGGTCTGCCGCTTTTGCCTGACGGAGCAGAAGTTGGCCTCGATTTTCGAGGAAAACGCACGGGTTAAGACCACCGCCAATCTTCCCCTGCAGATCATGGCCATAACGGCGATCGAGGTGAGTGGATTAATGCGACAATTGAGGGTTCTAGGATTAATGCGGCAAGTCGGGGTTCTAACTTGCACTAACAACCGCCACGCATAACTCGGCTAAAAAATCGCTCTCGGGTTTCCGAATCGACTGTGATGGCGTCTTGGCTAAATTTTCACCGCCCCGCTGGTTTCCTTTTTCCTATAGCTGTAAAGTCCTTGAAAAGAGGCCTTAGGATATGACCCACTGGTTACTCATTGGAGTTTCCCCTTTTCAAGTGTGTGAAAAAAAAACTCATTCTTAATCAATTGGGGCAACTGTACTGGGTACTCACGCATACACATGCAAAGTCAGCTGATCGCCCGTGACAGCTGTCAGTTGTGTTTTTGGCGCGAAAACAGTGCCTAATTTTTATAAATTCAAATGTTAATATTTCAGTTTACTTATTCATAAAAATGTATACGATTTAGGTGGATATTTTTATTTTTTCAAATTAATACTTTTTTAAAAAATACGCAAAATTGTCTAAATTCATTTTTATTCAAAACAAGTTTGTCCCTCTTTTAGAAAAAGGCTGCAATATTATTTCAACAGGTCCAAAATGCATTTTCTTTAACCTGATCACTTTGTTATCAATGTTAATCAATATTCGCTTTAAAAAAATCAAAAGTTTCCCATCTTGAACTTACCCACTATCTTAAAAGAAGAGAATAAATATTTTATCAATTCATTTTTATTCGTATGCATATCAAATATATATGTTTGCTCGTACATGTATAAATCTTCATTGTATAATCTTATCTCAAATTTGTGGGTTTGCTGATTGGCAAGTGTTGCTTACAATTAGGGAAATCATAAACTTAAGTGGGCAACGAATTTCGTCAACGATAAGGCCTGAAATGGGTGGGAATCTGGGGGAATGAAGGGGAATCGTCGAGGTGCCTACATATCCTCCGGGATAAACGCACGCGTCACTTAAAACTAGACTTGAAGTGAATTGGAATCCAAGGTGAATGATTGCGGGAGATGTTTGGTTGTACAACCTAATTTTGAAACGAGATCAGATTTCGGTTTTGTCTTAGCCAGCCTTATTTCCCTTCGGTTTGTCGCCGAAGCGCAGTATGCGCGTCAGCATGGAGGTGAGGCACGGTATTTGCTTCTGGCGATCCATCATCGGAGTGGCGGGCACGTTCGACTCAAAGTCTAGGGCAACACGCTGGTTGACGAATGTGAGCAGGGTGAGCATGTCGTACTTTTTGCCATTCGTATTCAGCTCCCGGATGAGCGACTGCATGTACCAGGAGCCGTTGTTGATGTTGCGCCAGGAGAAGTAGCCTGAAAAGGAGGTCTATTGTTAGTAAAATATATAATATTATATAAAAATAATACCCACCTGGAATAGTTGAGTAAGAGAAGAGAAAGTCCGCGTGTATGGGTATCTTGTAGCTCATCGAGGACTCGCCATCCGTTTCGGTAACGCTCTTCTCCAGGGTTATTCCGCCATCCAAACGATCGCCCTGGCAGGCTTGAATGAAGAACATCTTCGGCTTGCCCGCCAGCGAGGGACAGAAGCTGGCGGTGAAGTAGTGCCAGATGTTGTCCAGCTTGTACTGCGTATCCTTGGCGTACAGATAGCCGTGTTCGCCGTGTGAGAGAATGGCCACCGCCAGGCAGTCATTGTCCGTGTGATCCTGTTCGGCCGCCTTCTCGATATGCTTCAGAATGTCCCGCAGCTTGCAGTCCTTGTGCACGGAGACCGTGAAGCCCAGCGAATCCAGGGCCTTCTTCAGCTCCTGGGCATCCACATTTGTGCCCGTGCGACTCTTCAGCGAGGGTATATCGAAGTGTTCGTGGTTGAAGATCAGCGCCAACCCGCGTTGCTTGTGATTCATATTATATTCGCTGGCATATCGCTCCACGGGCATTCGGGCCACAAACTTGTTGGCCGGCAGAGGGGAGGCGCTGCGGAGAGAAGATGCATTCACTATTTAATATGCCACTCGATTTAAGGCCAAAAGACCATAAGATAAGATTAGATTAGATAAGGAAGCAATGTCCAAAATTAGCCATGATTAATTGTTGTCCAATTATGTAAAGGACGGCTAGTTGGGGACTCGCAATTAGAAAGTACTGCGTATTACTTGCATAAGAAAAAAATTAAAAGGGTTTCAATGATAAGAAAACACTTTCCCAGATCGTTTCGCATTCGAGTATTTAAGCATTTGATTCTTTTGATTTAAAGCCTTTTTCATGACTAAAGCTTTTATAGTGGTGATAAGAATTTTGGCCATGATTAATTGATTTTCCATTGTCTTTTAGGAATTTCACAATATACATGTTAACGAGAAAGTTGAAGTTAATATATATATGAATCAATAGATTTTTAGTGATAGGAAATAACTTTACAGTCTGATTTGCGATTGGGTTTTTGACCGGTTGATATGATATGAAGTCAATTAATTTCATGACTAAGGTTTTAACTGATTTAGTTAAAAGAGGGTCAAATTCCTAATGATTTGCACATTTTGATTGTAGTATTGAATTCTCTTTTTTTCCATCTTCTATATTTACTATCTTCAAAGAACATTATTTTTTCCATCTGCTCTATAAAACATTATTTGAGTAAAAAAAAAAAGATTGTTGTTGTAGTTTTACACCCCACTGCTAATAAAACTAGTTTTACTTATTGATAACGGTTATCAGTCTGAGAAGTTCGAGTTATGGGAGTTTTAATGTAGTTTAATAAAAAACATTTAAGCGATAAAATGAAATGAAATATTTGAATAATCAGTAGGAGTATTTTAAGGCAACTAATTTGTATTTAGTCAAAAATAGCCAGAACTAAGATGATAAAGACATTTCATGAATAAATTTTTAAAATATTATTAAGAGTATAATTTTTCCAAAAGTAGTCTGATAAGCAATTTGTCATAATGTCCTCCAAGTAAACATTTTAAGGGGAAGATTATCAAAAAGTTAATCTTAATCAATTTTAGATAAGATAATAATAATCTCAAAAAGTACGAGAAATGAACAGAGTTATAGAGATCTAAGAATTATTCCATTATTTAAACAAAAACAAGAAAAGTGATGAACAGGGATATCAAAATACACAAACAAACAAGAGAGAGAGCGAGAGCGAAATGAGAGAGCGAGAGAGCGGCACATGGACTTACCTCGCTGCAGTTGCATTTGCACCACCAACAACAACCGATTCCGGCGTACAGCCCTTGGCATCGGTATTATCGTCCGCTATAATGCTGCCCCGATTTCCCAGTTCCTTTCCTCTGGCCGCTCCATTTGAGTTGAGAACCCCGTAGTCGTAGTTTCTGGTTACGCACTCGTCCGTCATTTTGTGTCCCTCCGCGGCACTCTTCTTCTTCGTCTTGTTCTTGTTTTGATTGTTTGCGTTTCCCCTTTTGTTCGCCGTCTGCCTGTTTTTTCTTCTTCTTCGCCTTTGGTTGTTGCGCCCTTTTTGGGTCCGATATTCTTGTTCTGGTTTGGTTCTTCAAACGGGTTGAGTTGGCCTAACTTTCCGCAGCACAGCTGTTTTTCATTCGCAGCTTTTGTCGTTACTATTCGGTTTAAACAATCAAGCGAATGTCCTTTTATGGCTCAGTCCAGGCGTGCTTAATCAATCAATTAACGGAGGTTAAGCGTGCTCGCCGCCGCGAAAACAAACTGCGATTGCATGTAGTGGTGTGTATGCACTTGCCGCCAAGCGGAGATGGCCAGCCGTCGATAAACTGGGTGATTAATCGCACGGCGATTAGCTATCGATTGAAAAGGATTGATTGTTTTAATGGGGGTATTACGATTTATGGCGGTTTAATTTAATACATTTAATTAAGTTATAATAGTTTATACTTCAGTGGAGTTCAGTTATTGAATAACAGATGTAATGTTCTTTTACATAATTTGCAAAAAAAAAAAAATAGAACAAAGATATCAGGTGTATCATTTTCTATGGTTTTTCGTTTGGAAAAGGGACACCCCCTAGATATAAAACTTTAATCTGGCATAACTTTTTAACGAATGGTCCGATTTGAAAAATTTCTTCTACATTTTGATAGGTATTGATAAACACCATAAAGCTACATTTTCACTTTTCCAAAATTCACTTTTATTTAAATACACTTGTTAGAAGATTATTGCACATTAGTTTCTAATCTTTATTTTCCCTTAATTTTACCAGGTCTTTGCCGGTGACGGAATGCCTGGGAATATTTGCCTGGAGTGTCGCCTCCTCTTCGAGCACTGCTATCGCTTCAAGCAGATGTGCAAGCGGGCGGAGACGCTCCTCAAGCAATATCCGTTGACCGGAAACTGGCCGGCGCCGCTGGAGAAGCCCCGAGCTCCCATAATGGCGGTGGCTCCCAAAAAGGTGGTAGTCACACCAGCAGCAGCACCACCAAAGGCAACCGAGGCTCCCGTTGCCGAAACTCCGAAAAAAAAGCTCCTCAACACCCTGGCCAAGTCAAAACCAGTGGTCATCGAGGAGGTTCAGGTGATGGAAACCTCTTTGGTGCCAAAAAAGAAAGTAGCAGTCGCCTCTCCAGTCACCAATCGGCGATCCCATGCCTACGAGCTGAAGGTGGAGAACAACCAGGAGCTCTCCATGGACGATGTGCAGAACATGCTGGAGGACATGGCCAACGAACTGGACAAGGAGTTTGAAGAGACGGCGCCAAAGAAATCACCCGTCAAGCCAAAGGTGCTAAACAAATCCTCGATTAGGATCCTGAACAAAGGACCCGCTGCGCCGGTGGAACCGCGCCTGGCCACGCCCCAAGTGAAGCGGGACAACAGCGGCAATGTGGCCGTATTCACCGAGGTTCTGGAAGGCGAGTTCATTCTAGACGACCAGGATGATCCCACGAAGAATGCCGAGAAGGTGGCCACCGATGTATTTCCCTGTCCCGACTGCGAACGCTCCTTTCCGCTGCAGCAGCTGCTCGAGATCCATCAGCGAAATCACGCGCGCTCCCGCAGCTTCCAGTGCCCCCACTGCGAGAAGAGCTTCTTCTCCAAATACGACTTGGCCAAGCACAATTTCGTGCACACCGGCGAGCGGCCCTTCAAGTGCGCCATCTGCGCCAAAGGCTTCACCCGAAAGGCGCTGCTCCATCGCCACGAGCGCACGCACACGGATGTGCCCAAGTTTATCTGCGTGTACTGCGAGAAGCAATTCCTGTCGCGCCAGGAGATGGAGAAGCACGCGGAGCGGCACAAGAAGAGGCGCCCCTTCCAGTGCACCGTCTGCACCAAGTCGTTTGCCTTTAAGCAGGGATTGGAACGTCATGAGGTAGGGGAATCAACTAAATTAAAATAAAAACTTGTGTTATTAACATGTTAAATGTCAAAGTGTTAAGTTCAAAAAATGTAATTGACATGTGTGTAAAAAATTGTAGCTTACATATGTTAGAAACATAAATAACACACACAGTTTGTGTTATTTACACGACGGGTTTTTTACACAACGTGTTTTTCACATTAACGGTTAAAAATAACAAATAAGTTATCCTGGGCCAATATTAATTTTCCCTTCGATTCGTTAATGTCCATAAAATGTAATTTTCATTTGTTTAAAAACACTGTGTAAAAAACACGTCGTGTTAATAACACATTGTGTAAAAAAAACAAGTGAGCTGTGTCTGTTAACAATTCTTTTTCACATTTTAACACTTTTGTTTTTGACACACGTCAAAAACTTTGTTCTCACTGTAAAATACAATTTTATATGTTTTTAACATGTGTGTGAAATTAAAAATAACAATTAAGTTATCCTGGCCCAATATTGATTATTCATTTTCCCTTCGATTCGTTAATGTCCATAAAATGCAATTTTCATTTGTGTTAGAAACACAGTGTGTAAAAAACACGTCGTGTTTATAACACATTGAGTAAAAAACGCACATTTTAACACTTTTGTTTTTGACACAGATGTCAAAAACTTTGCTTAAAAAGTACAAAGTACAAAAAAGTAAAGTACAATTTTACATGTTTTTAACATGTGTGTTAAATTCCGAATCATGTTTTTAAGTAGTCAATCTAATGAATTTATTTCCTTACAGGTTGTCCACGCCACCAATCTTCCCTTTCCCTGTCAGCACTGCGAGCGCAGCTTCTCCACCGCCTCCAAGCTGGCTCGCCACCTGGTTGCCCACGCGGGCAAGAGGGCCTTCCCCTGCAAGTACTGCCCCAAGTCGTATCTGTTGTCCCACCATTTGACGCGCCACCTGCGCATGCACACCCAGAATTCGGACTCCTCGTTCGTGTGCAGCGAGTGCAAGATTTCGTTTAGCACCTACAACACCATGCTGGAGCACGCGCGCATCCATGCTACTGCGAGTCTAAAGTGCCCCATGTGCCGGGAGCAAATCGAGGACCTCGATGGCGTTGATGCCCATATGGAGAAGCACAAGGTGAGCGAGCGGCACGCCTGCGAGTTCTGCGACCACATCTTCTTGACTCAGAGCTGCCTGCAGCGGCACATCGAGGACGATCACGTGATGGACATGGAGCCCTACCAAAACGACTACGACGACGAGGGCGAAGGCGAAGGCGAAGAGGAAGGCAAGGAGGAACTTTTCGAGGAGGGCGAGGTGGCGGAGGAAGACTTGGAGTATGTAAAGGCCGAGGAATTTGAGACAGAGTATCTGGAGGACGATACCCTGGACGAAGATCACCTGGATGATAGCGAAGACTCCTATTCGCCGCCGCCCACTAAGCAGCGAAAAGTAACCCAGCCAGCCTCGCGCCAAACACGGAGCCGGGAAACTACAAAGGTCTCGCCAAAGGCCGTTGTTGTGAAGAAGGAAGCCAAGTCGCCTCCCAAATCGGAACGTTCGCTAATTAAGAAACGCAAACCAGCTAAATAAGTACTAAAATGTACATGTAAAAAATGTATCCATGATTATCATTACACATTAAAGAGTTTATGTATTCCAATTAGAGCCCTACGTGAATCATTCAATTTTTGTTTTATCATAGTAAGCCATGAAATTTCTGATTTGTTTAATTCAATTCTATGTGAAAAAAATTGAAAGTTTTTCTAATTCATTTCGAATTGAATGAATGAATGAATAATTTTTATGAATTTTTTGAATTTGCCAGAAAAAGAGTGTGGAAAATTCTTGACAATTCAATGTTAACTGCTTAAAAAATAAAATTCATGTAGTTTTAATCACAAAATTTTGGCCCTTGAAAAGAAATTATGGTTTGAATTTTTTCGGAATTCATGCCATTCTTTCATTCAATTCTATTAAACTCAAAATTCAAATTCATTCAATTCTATTAAACCAGCGGTCGGTAGTGCCCTATTAAATGAGCATAGGGAATTGTTCTGCCCATCCTCTGCCTCTCACGAACACTGTAGAACAGCGGTCTGAACACACACACTAATAAGCTGCCCAGTGCAATTTACTCACAAAAATTGAACTGTATTAAACTCAAAATTCTAAATAATTCATTTAAATAAAACAAAAAATTCAATATAATTAATTGAATCCATTCATGCAGGGCTCTAATTCCAATCCATTGATTATAACGTTATAAAGCTGATAGATCCTTAAACTCTAGAGGAGAACAATCCCATATCCTCGCTCTCATCTTTGATCTTTATTGAAGCGCCAACTGGAGTTTAGATATCGTGTGTATTTCCGCCGAAAGTTCAGTTTACATTAACGTTTATCACTACCAAACAACGAATACATCCCAAACCGGGAGGCGGTGGCCATCTAGTGCTCATAGCCATCGGGCAGGGGGTTGACGTGGGGGTTGTGGAACAGGCTCTTGTTGCCCTCGCCCCAGGGGAAGCGCTTCTCGCGGCGGCGCAGGTAGTCGTACTTGACGAACTCCTGGCGGGGCTTGTCGTGCTCCTCCTGGTGCTTCAGGTAGGCATTCAGCATGCACAGACCGACGGCGGGAACGGCCACGAAGAAGGACAGCCGCTTCCAGACCTTGTAGCCACCTGGGGGGATATAATAAAGGGTATATAATGTTATGCATTAGAGCAACTCCTCCGATGGCCAAATTACATAACCTTAACCTTACAAAAGCAGGCGAATTTGGTCATTTGGGACTTGGGAAGGACACTTACCGGAGTGCTCACCGGCCACGGCGGCGGTGCCGGACATATTCCGGGCGGCAGTAGCGCCAAATTGGCGACGAATTGCGTGATTTAGAATAGCTGACATATTTTCAGTCGATTCCTGGCCCGAATGAAAATTGTAGTATTTTGACAAGTAAATAGGGGTGGCCCAGGTAGGCGATATGTCGTGACTGGTTCGTATTGGAGATCGATAGTTTTGTGATTTTAAAAGTGATTTTTGAAGCAGAGTTTTATATTTTAAATTTAAAATGGGATCAATTTTTGACTTTGTTTGCTATGTATATATGTCAAGTTTTCATAACTTTAAAAAAGTGAATATATATCTTTTCCAATAACATTTTAAAAGAAAATTAAAATAAGAATATAAAAAATATAACAATAAAACGCATTTACATTTTTAATTTTTTAACGAATTAGTTTTCAAGATATATTAAATATATTCGAATTATATCGTAAGAAATCCTTTGGTCAATTTTTTTCTAACTTATCAAGCGCCGTGATCAATGGATCACCTCCAATTAATCGATAACAGCCATCGACTCACGAGCCCACCACCCTAGCTTGTGTGGGAACATGCTATCGAGACTGGAGTCGGCTACCAATCGTCCATCCACAACAACAACGTGTCGCGTAATTATTTTCCCCTCTTGTTTATTAAATTCAGCGCATTCAATTGTAAATACCCTGCACATCTTTGAACAAAAATAATAAAATAAAGAAGCAACAAAAGTTGGGGGGGCGCAACAACAGCAACACGAATTTCAGCAACGAACGGGAAAATCATTTATCGAACGGACAGTGAAGTGTTATTAATTAGGCGAAACAAGCAATCGAAGTACAAAGTAAACCCCAAAAACCGCCAGCTATTCATTAAGTGCAAAGTTTGCAAGATTCTCACTAGACATAAAGGTCGCTACACTCGAAGAAAGGCAAACAAACAAGTATTAAGGAGGAAGGAGAAGTGGAAATCGAGAGATATACATAGATACCCTGCAATAATGGCTGCCAACAACTTGCGACAAATCCCGCTGACCTGCAGCGGACATACGCGACCCGTCGTCCACCTGGATTTCAGCGACATCTGCGACAGCGGCTACTTTCTCATCTCGGCCTGCAAAGGTAACAGAGCGTCGTGATTCCGATTCCGATTCCAAATCGCATGCGATTAGGCGTCCTTGTGCGCTATATATAGACCATATTCCGTCGACGCACAGTGGTTGCATTGCGAGAAAGTCACATTAAAATTATCTGTTTTGGGGGTTTTCCATAATTTTATAAAGATTTTAATATTCATGAGAAAAAAAAGCTCAAAATTAGCATTTTATTTTAGTGTTCCTAGCATGTAGTTCTTTTATAATCAGCACACCAATATTCATATTGTTATAGATTCTATAATATGGAGTTATTAGAGTCCTTAAGATCAATTTTCTAGTCCTTTTGCTAAGCTATAAGTCTTTAGACTACAAAAATCTTTAAATTTTCCATTTAATCAGAATCGTTTAGGAGAAAAATAAAAGTTTCAAAGAGATTTAACCATAGGTATTCATTATGTTGAAAACCAACAAATATTTGTGTAAGCCACATAAATAGTTTCTCTTAGTTTAGAAATCATAAATTTTAATCGCAATATTTTAAAGTCAAAAATGTTTTTAAACATTCTATATTCTTATAAAACTAAACATTTGAAAAAAGGTTTTGTTATAAGTTTCTTTTTGTTAGGCTTTTGCGAAAAGCGTATGTTAAACAGCGTTTATTCAACCTACTTTACAATTAAAAAAAATTTTTTTTTTTTATTAAACAATGAAAATATGTTTTACACACCACAAAAAGGTCAAATCAATCACTAAGCTGAAGTGCAAATAGTATTGATTGACAGTGGCAGGGGTTCTTTGATAAATGAATGTTTTCGCTGAAAAGATGCTGCATCAGATCGGCGGCGCATAGGCGAAACATATGTACCACTATATGAGCAAACACGATTTAGCACCGTCTAGCCTGCGCGATACCTTGACCCAAATGCAAAGTCATTCATCGCGAGCGAAACCTGTTTGCTGCGAGAGCGAACCCGAACCCGATTCCGAACCCTTTTCCCGCCACTCGCATGCTACAAAATTCGCGTTCTTTGCCTTGAGGTGTCAACTAGTCGATGCGATTGCAATTGCAATTGCAATTGCTATTGCTATTACTTGTTTTTTCTACATAAACACTTTGCATTCGTTGCTTTCGCTAAATGTTGCTTTTATGCGGAAAGAGCGTTTTCCCAGTGCAAGTTCAAGTTGATTTCGTTATCGCCTTTTAACGTACTCGCTTCCCCTTGTTTAGCAACTTTTCGAAACTTTGCTCGTTTTGTGCTTTCGGTTCGGTTCAGGAAGCGCCTTGAAACTTCTATATTTATATGCTGTGTATATGCAGCTGTCGGGAGACAGGAAAGTCATCTGGAAGATTCTGGTTAGGGGATACACTTTCCGGTTTAAAATGTTGGGGTTCTAGAGATTATTAAAACATCCATAAATTAATGTCTTATAATAATATAATTTTTTTTATAATATTTCAATAGTTTTTAGTTAGTACAATTCTGTTTGCCGCGTTCATTTAGATAGTACCCACTATGATGAATCATAGGCAAGTCTAAGGCCAATTACTTGTATAAATTAGATTGGGGATTTAAAATCTAAAATATAATGATTTAATTATATTTGTTTGTTTTCTTCATTGAATACTATAATTATTATTACAAATTAATATTCAATAAAAACTTTTCGTGAATGTTCTATATACATATATCGAAATTTATTCAAGTAAATAAATTAGGTACCAAGAATTCTAGGGAATGTATAAAAAATAGATTTTAAAATCCCTTTTTTCACAGAAAGGATAGTTATATTCATTACAGTTTTTAGATAAAATAGAACGAAATTAATGAACATCTCTAAAATAAAGGTCTAACTTAAAATCCTTATAAGTTTGTTAAAAAGTCCTAAAGTTCAGAGTAATCCCCATTAATTAATTAACTGAATTAATATAGCATGAAATTAATAAACATCTCTAAAAAAAGGTCTAACTTAAAATCTTTATAGTTTGTTTAAAAAGTCCCTAAGGTCAGAGGAATTTCAATCGCTCATATGCTCGACGGGTTGTTTTCTAAAAATATAACCGCCAACGGGTAAACCACTCACATTTGAAAATGAAATGTGGCTTTGATCGAACTAACAAGCCGCGTTCCTGCACTGCAGCCTGCTCCCTGCATCACGATCCCCTTGATCGGTTGGTGGTGCAGTGCATGTGACGTGAACTTGGGGAGCTCGCCTGCATGATTGCGAGCGGCCAGGTCGTTGGCCTTGGCGGCAGGCATTGAGTCAAGGTGGCTTCCGTTGGCTAATTTATGCACGCACGCTCCCCGGCGAGCGAAAGCATCGAATGTGCAGCTGACTGACCGAGAAAACGTTGTTAATTCTGATTTCTAAATTCTCAATCTTGCAGATGGCAGCCCGATGCTGCGGCACGGCGACACCGGCGACTGGGTGGGCACCTTCGAGGGCCACAAGGGCGCCGTTTGGAATGCCACCCTCAATCGCAATGCCACTCTGGCCGCCTCGGGAGCGGCGGACTTCACCGGCAAGGTGTGGAATGCGGTGAGCGGGGCCGAGATTCACAGCTTCCAGCACAAGCATATCGTGAAGAGCGTGGCCTTCGATATGGATTCCGAGAACATAGTGACCGGCAGCAACGAGAAGCTGGTGAGGGTCTTCAATCTGGAGCAGCCGGAGGCACAGCCGGAGGAGTACGCCGGTCATGGGGGCGCCATCAAGCGGGCGCTCTTCTGCCGCGGCGACAAGTGCATCATCTCGGCGGCCGAGGACAAGACGGTGCGCCTGTGGGACCGCATGACGGGCATCGAGGTGCAGCGCCTGCAGTTCAACAGCAATCCGAACAGCCTGGAGATCTCCAGCGACAACCACATACTGACCATCTCGCATGGCAACTCGATTAGCTTCTGGGAGATCGACACGCTGAAGAAGCTCAAGGAGGTGAAAGTGCCGACGAACGTGGCGTCGGCCAGTTTGCATCCGGATAAGCATGTCTTTGTCTGTGGCGGCGAGGACTTTAAGATGTACAAATTCGATTATATAACAGGCAATGAAATTGGTAGGTTCCAAAATAGAGCCCTGCATGGGTATAAAAAATGGGTTATTTGGGTACTCAAACCAAATTTCAGGTCAAGTAGGTCAGGCTTTCTTTTAAAATATTATCAACCCAATCTGACCTCAAAATGTTCATGTCGTTTGAGTTTGGGTAAAATTTTACCCATTTACCCAAACCCAAGCGACCCAAGTCAAATGGGTTTCAGGTAGATCAGTTCGGGTTTAAGGTTACCCAAAGAAAAAAAATGATTTTTAAAGAAGGCGATGATCACAATTTTCACAGCTCATCGACCCGTCGCGAATTCTTAAGTGCAAGATGATTATTTGTGTTTAATATTTAAAAGGATACGATATATCGACACTTGTTTTAAGTTCTTTCGCCCATGCGAATTCTTGTGGTCTTCAAATGGTACAGATATAAGATCCACAAAAACATATTCTCTTGTTCTAAAGAACTCGCGGTTTTTGAAATATCAATATAGAGTATATTATTAGGTTTCTTAGTTAAGTTATGTTTCATCCACACAAATAAATCCTCTTGTTCCTAAGAATTCGCGGTCTTTGAAAAATCGATATAGAATATACCATTAGGATTCTTTAGTTAAGTTATGTATGATCCACACAAAAATATCCTCTTGATCCTAAGAATTCGCGGCTTTTAAAATAATCGATTCATTTAAGAACTTTTATAGATTTTATATTAATTCTTCCAACCCGCGAATTCTTAAGAACAGGAGGATCTTTAGATTGGTTTGGGTCCCAGAACTCTTTAAATATATGTAAACCCCATATTAATGTCTCACCTCCCCGACAGAATCCTTCAAGGGCCACTTTGGACCCGTGCACAGCGTGAAATTCAGCCCGGATGGGGAGCTCTACGCCAGCGGCTCCGAGGACGGCACTCTGCGGCTGTGGCAGACCACCGTGGGCAAGACCTACGGCCTGTGGAAGTGCACAGAGCCCACGGACATGGGCAACTCCCTCAGCTCGCCGCGCGAAGTCCAGGCAAACTGATGTTGGCGCAGCAGGAGTCGCTGCTACACAGCCGCCCACGCTGCACCACCGGCGACGCAACGCAAGGGCACGTGATTCGGAGCTACGGCTGAGATCTAATATCCCGATTATCAAAAGAACAACTCGTAATGTGGGCTACAATAACGATTCTTCATATTCCAACGCTGAACTCACTCATTGGCATTAAAAAAATGATAATCACACACAAAACTACATTGTGAAATGCAATAGAAATAAATAACTTAAGTGTCGCATTTGTGACGTGTGAATGGATGCGGAAATTCCTCGGGCTTAGATGTGGGTTCCCGTGGCCCAGCCGTGCAGGTAGATGGTGGTGAAGTTTAGCAGCGGCTCGCCCTGATGGACATCCGGGCGGTTCTGGAGGTGATCGAACCAGCGGGAGAGATTCAGATAGGCCTCCTTGTCCACGGGCGAGAGGGATTTCTGAAAGGATAAAGGAAGATTGTTTTGGGGAAATTTATTTAGAATTCTATACTTTTTTTTAATGAAATAATTAAGAAATAGACCCTACCAGTAATATTTTTCACTCTATTTTAATTTGTTCGATTTCTTGATTTTAAAGATATTCAGGCCTTTTAATGGTAACCCATTTTTACAAAGATTATAAGGATTTAAGCTTTCTTTACTTTAAATTAAAAAATATGGTTTGCATTGAAAGGTGTAAATATCCTTAATATCAAGAAGTTATCACTTTGTAATAATTATTGCCAATATTATTTAAGATCCCAGATTAGCAAAGAACCAGAACCAAAAGAAACTTATTCAGACCTTTTATTGGTAACCCATTTATACAAAAATTATAAGGATATTCAGACCCCTTATTTGTTACCCATTTATACAAATATTATAAGGATATTCAGACCTTTTATTGGTGACCCATTTATACAAAGATTATAAGGATTTACGCTTTCTTACTTATTAAAAAATATGGATTACATTGAAAGGTCTGAATATCTTTAATATCAAGTAGTTATCACTCTGTTATGAGAATTGCCAATATTATTTAAGATTCCAGATTAGCATAAAACCAGAACCAAAAGAATCTTAACTGATTTGGTTATATTTTATACCACAACACATCTTCAAAACGTTTCTATGGTATCTGTATTATATGGTCGGAATCACTTGGTATAGAGAAATCCAGAATATAAATTCCCTGGTCAAAATAGAACCCCAATTATTAGGAATATCCTGATATAAACTCACCACAAGATCGTAGATGGCATAGTAAACAGCCAGATCGGCCAGTGTGATGAAGTGACCAACCAGGTAGGATTTGCTGGCGAAGAGTTTGTTGAAGTCGGCCAGGAGTTGCTTGGACACATGCTTGTCCCTGGAACCGGGCGCCACGTAGAGAACGGAGAACTCGATCCACTGGTACACCTGGGCCTCCACCTCCCGCGACACCTTGCTGTTCTTGGCAGTCTCCGACTTGGATTCACTGGCCAGGCTCTCCAGGATGGTGGCGAATCCAGCCACGCTCTTCTTTTGGCCACTCGTGCGCGTTACGACCTTCACAACAGAAAATAAATTGAAGGGGGCCGTGGGAATCATTCGATTTGGGGGTCAAGTAGGTGTTCCTTACCTGCTCCTCGTTCAGCTGCACCTTGCCGGGATTTACGCCCAGGCAATTGGCAATCTTCTGCACTGTTGCAACGTCGCACATGGTCAGCGAAATTAAAGTTAAGTTATTTGGCGTGCAAAAAATACAAGATACGATACTCCAGATTAGCAGACAGGGTTGCACAACTGACTCAAGCCCTGCCAACTATCGATAAGTGTGCTATCGATTAGGAGAGGCGCGAAATTTTAAGTTATTCTCAAGGTACAGTCAATGTAATTATTGATTTCTAAAAAATAAATTTTATTGAAATGAACCGTAGAAATGTTTCCTAAGTTTTGGTTATATTTCCCTGAACCGATTTAGATAAAGCCTCATAGGTGACATCGTATTGCAGCAGAAAGATGAAAAAATCAGCAGAGGCTACCAGCAACTATAAAGTAAATATTATAAAATTAAATTAAAAAACAAAGCTTAAGGATGCCAACTCACAGCTGTTAAGAACTTAAGATCCAGAACCATGACTCCACCCACCACATGCTGTCGTATATTCGTGCGCATTTGTAGAATAAAGTGGTTAATAGTCTCCTGAAGATCATTTCCTGTGCATGAGACTCCACTCAATAAGGTCAAACACTTGGATTGCTGAAAGGTTAAAGGTTTAATACTTACAAAATTAATTCTACGATATTTTACCTCATTTTGAATGTTCTGATTGAAGTACAGGATGCTGCATACTTTTCCCAAATGCATGGCCAACCAGACGATCATGTATAGCCACTTGGCCAAGTCGCCCATCGAGGGATTCTCAATGCCCTGATATACCAGAAACAATACCAAATTGAAGTTCAAAAAACAACCCACGAAGAGGAGTACAATGGAGTACTGGAAGGTACGATTAACCAATCTGGTAAAATTCGTTAGATCTGCGTGATGTAGGCGATATCTTTGGATCTCCGCCTTTCGAGGGTTTATTAAATGGTTTAACTCGCGATCTAGGTTTTCGGTTACCTTCCTCTGACGCCAAGCGATTCCTTGGAGCAGAAGATAGTACTGAACGAATGATAGACTGCTTATGATATTGGGCATCACATAGCTGTTAAGACTCAAGATCGATCTATATATCACACATTTCTGGCTCCAGATATCGAAGGCGAAGGCCAAACAGGTGAAAATCCACACCAATAACAGCTGCAGCCTAATAAACCTCTTGGTTCTCTGGCCATCAACGATATAGCCTCTTTCCAGATCGGATCTTACAATATCCTTTATGACCTTTGGAACCCAGTTCCTCCATTGCCAAGTGAGTAGCATAATGACAAATATATGAATCACATAGACTGCAGATTCAATGGCATTTAGATAACGATTCAGGGAAACCCTCTGTAAAGTGATGAGCACGAATTCCCAGTACGAAGCCAGAGCAAAGTTTCCATACCAAATTGTCATCCAAAGAAGATGGATCAATCGGTAGAATCTATTGGGGCAGCCGGGAAGAATGGTTATAGGTGCCGTATTCGCCAGAACCGAGATGAGTAGTAACCAATGAAGAGTCTTATGAAGCTGCTTGAGTCTTTCCACGTATTTTAGATGGTAAGTAGATGGTCTGCAAGGTTTACAAATTAGAGTTTTTAAGAAATAGCATTTTTAGTCCATTTCTTACCCTTCTTTTAACCAAGTTTTAGGTTTAGCCCGTTTCATTGGTGGTTTCTTCAAGCTCCACATGATGACTACTGGGGATTTATAATTTCTTACAACCATTTAGGCCGTCAAGTCCTTCAGCCTAATCATCAATCACTTGAAATATAATTAAACCCTTTTAATAAATTCTAATCATTAATTGAAACCCCTTCAGGATGGACAGTTCGTATTGGGAAAATCTCTTCTTAACCATAAATCGATTTTTTGGTGTATTCCCCAGTGGAAGAAGTGGAATCCTTCGATGGATCCACTCTCTTTGGTGCCTATTTCTGCTATTATACATCTGGATACTAAGCATTTGCAAGTGTATTGATTTTAAAGTGGAAATACCCACCATAGAAAAACTATTCTATTTGACGGAGTTTCCGGGAAACATGTCATCTACTGCCATTTTGGTTTACTATGCTATATCAAATAGTCCCTGTGCTCGTGAAGTGGAGTTGAAGATCCATCGCCTCATGAAAGGACTCGAAGGGAAAGCTATTCGTTGTATCTATAAGAAACATGGTCAGAGAACTTTTCATCTTATGGTGACGGTCTTAGTTTTCCATGGGTTGTGCACTCTGGTGGATATAGTCAACTATAACTTTGAGTTCTGCATTACTTTCTTCAGTAATTGTGTCTATAATCTGCCAGCTTTAATGATGAGTCTAGGGGTACTACAATATGCCCTCCCTGTACACTTGCTTAGACTTTTACTGGAACAGATGAGGATTTGCCTTGGGGAGCTAAAGTTACGACAAAGACCATCGATGGAAATAACCAAGTTGGATGCTCGATATGAGTCCGCTTTTGCAGCTCTAGTGGACGCAGGTGGAGGATCTACTGTACTTATCGAGGAGATGCGATCAACCTGCAATCTTATTGATCTAATCCACAAACAGTTGCTATCTAGATTTGGACTTTTTCTGCTTTTAAATATGATAAATTCTCTGGTCAGTTTGTGTGTAGAGCTCTACTTGATTTTTAACTTTTTCGAAAATCCACAATGGAAAGAGTCCATGTTGCTAATATATCGACTGCTTTGGTTGCTCCTGCATGGCGGACGTATTTGGTTTATCCTGGCGGTAAATGAGCAGATCCTGGAAGAGGTAATCAATATATTATTTAGATCGCAGCTTACTTTAACTTAATTACCAATTATAACCCCCAGAAATGTAAACTCTGTCAGCTGATCAATGAGTTGGAGGTGTGTAGCTCCCATCTGGAAAGGACCATTAATCGCTTTTTGCTGCAACTACAGACGAGTCTTGAGCAACCCCTGGTTGCCTGTGGAATCGTGACATTGGACACCCTTTCTTTGGGAGGGGTAAGTCCTCCCCTCAATTAACCCTTTTGTTACCACAATTAATGTTCGTCCTTTGTCCATCGACAGTTTATCGGCGTTCTAATGGCCATTGTCATATTCCTCATACAAATCGGCCTGGGGAATAAATCGCTAATGGGAGTTGCCCTCAACAGATCCAATTGGGTTTACATTTGAATGAAGGAAACCAAAATCGGGTAATGCAAAATGGGAATTACCCTAGGAATTCTGAAGGTTTATAGCTTAAATATAATACATTTGAAATAATATTTGTATTTTTATTGGGAAAAGTAATATGAGGGGTTTATTTGAGTAAATTACAATACTCGTTTAGCAAAATATTAAAGTCGAACAATTATTATTTTAACCCCTTAAAAATCTGTTAATCCCGTTTTTTTCAAGCAAAGAATACCGTAATATAATCAACATAGTTATATCATAACTTCTCAGTTGTATTGGAAGGGTATATTTTTGTTGTGGATATCCCATTGTTAATGGGTTCATGCGTCCATTTATCCCATACCTTTTAAAAACCAAAATAGGGAGATAAGTCAGCCCCATTTGAATAAAAGCCGTGGCAAACTACCTCTGATTTTCATTCCGTAAACAATGTCCAACCAACGATTGTGGCTCTGGTTTAGGGGTATTTCCGGCAGAATCCTTCGGGCACTGTTGACTTTCCTTTGGATGTTCTTGGCTGGCTGCGTAAGTTACTCCGGTCGTCTGCGGGATGTGGTGGCTCAGGCAGGAGCTGAAACGGGTCTTCTGGCCCTGAGTTTGTGTGTCAATCGGAGTATTCACCTATTGGAGCGCGTTTTCTGGCTATCGGTGGTCATAAGCAGTGTGATTGCAGCTCTGGTGCTCAGTCGATTTCAGCTGGAGAGGTATTTCAGCTCACCCACTGTTATATCCGTGGATCGGGATTATCGCGGCTGGAATGGATCCCTGCCGGCAGTCACTCTGTGCTACTACGACCACATCGATTCTTTCAAGGCCAATGAGTACATTCAGGAGGTAAAATATACATAAAAATACATAAACTCAGGAAACAAAATAGTTTCTAGCTAAAAGGTTGTTAGAAGTGAACATTTGTATTATTATATTCGTTTTCACTTATTAATTGCTATTATACCTACACCCAAAAAAAATCAATATGAAACGTAGATCGATTTTACATTGGTAGTATTAATTTTAAATTGATATGCGGCCAGGTAAATTTGATATGCTCGAAATGAGTATTTAATGTAAAACCGATATGCTTATTGCATAAACAGAAATTTACATGCACATATCGATTTTACGGTGACATGCTTTTTTTGTTTTTAAAGGTTTGGAATGTGTCCATTATTGACGAGGATTACTTTTACTTTATGGACTTTCTCTACGCGGTGGTGAATGCAACTGCTGGGAATTACGCGGAATTGGCCAAGTTTGCGGAGGACGAGCGCTTCGATCAAGTAGATCTCTACGAGATGATCCAGCGGGTGGATAGACCCTTCGAGCAGGTGATCAGTAGCTTCGACTCCGGATTCCAGGTTCATGTGCAGCGAGTGATGACGGAACGAGGATCCTGCTACGCCATTAATTCACCCATGTCCACGGTGCTGAGTGGACAGTGAGTGCTGATTATTATAAAAGCGATCCTATAATCCAGGATCCTCCTTTTCAGACCCGTTGCATATGAACTAATGCCACAACCTCTTTCCTGTCAGTATGGCAAACAGCAGTGCTACATTCGAATGGATCTGTATGAGAGCACCGGGGTGGTAAGTAATATTACACAATGGCCACCATTGAAGAGGAATAAATAGAATATGAAATCAACCTTTTAGCTAGACGTCCACTCGCCATTTGAGGTTTCGGCCACAGAGGCGAACATTGTGGCCCTGCACAAGTCCGACGAGATAACCGCCTCGTTCAAGGTGCTCGAAACGGTGTAAGTAGATCTAGAATCTAGAAATCCAGACCATAAAGAGATTGATTTATATGCTTTGCCAGGGCATCGAAAAATTTACACCAACTTAGTGTGGCGCAGCGCAAGTGTGTGTTCAACAACGAGGAGACATCCAACCTGAAGGTACGTGAATCTCTATGTAACCTTACCTTATCTGTAGATGCTGATTCTGTGGTATTGGAGCGATGCCCTGCGTTTCGGTTCGGCAAATAAACAAATTTCTCAAGTCAAATAAAAGAGCAGCATCTGATAAGACGTATCAGTGCAAGAAACTCAGAGGTTTCTCATAAACTCCCCTGCATGCTGGCTTAAAATTCATGAAAATAATATATTATAAGCTAAGCACGTGCTTGTTGTATTTATATTTGGTTTTTATCTTACATATTCACACCTACCATTTATATAAAAAATTTTCTATTATTATATTTTATTATAATACCTATTTATTATCAGTTTTTAATATTTCTTTACCTTTTTTTTTATCACATTTTTTATAATAAACAGATCTATAGCAAATCCCTATGTTTAGCTCGATGTCGAGCGGTAATGGCCTTGGAAATGTGCAACTGCGTGCCCTTCTTTTATCCTTATGTCGAAGGACCCAGTTGCAATCCCGCCGGATTCGAGTGTCTGCTGGACTTCAAGTGGCCCATTTGGGCTCTGCACATCTGCAAGTGCCCCTCAACCTGCACGGAAATCGAGTACACCATGCAGACGGTCAAGAAGAGTTCCTGGGGCGTTAAGAACAACGAGGAGGTGGCCAGCAGCGAGACAGCCACCTCCAGTTTCCGCTGGGATCTGATACCCCCAAAGGTCAGGATGCGACGGGATGTGGTATACAGTTTCGAGGATTTAGTGGGTGAGTTTTCTGAAGAGTTTTATTTGGATTATATCTTATTTAAAACTAAATATATCCCGATAAAAATTCATAGAAAAATATTAATACTTTAAAATTTTTGTATTTGATTTTGATTTTTAAAGATCAGATTCAAATCATATATTTAAAAAAATTGTCTATCAACTTTTGTTTAAATATTTTATAAAACTTTTGATATGATCTTAATAGAACTTTGACATTAAAATATTAACATCATAAATAAAATGATCTGATAAAATAATATGATATGATTATATGATATGATATGATAAAATAATCTTTAAAGATTAGGCTGATGTCTTCATATTATCATCATCATATTATTTAGTTTTCAGTCAAAATTTCTAAATTTAAAATAATATTTTTACTGAAATCCCTCCCTTACTCTCACTCCTTTCAGTATCCTTTGGAGGGGTCCTGGCTCTTTTCGTGGGCGTCAGCGTGATGGGTCTGGTGGAGATGGGTCATGTGCTCATCTACAACTTGCTGCTGGACATTTTCGCCCTCCGCCGCCTGGTTTTTGGCCGCCTGAGGCGCTGCTGGCGAAGAGACGACCACAAACCGGAGACGGACCACCTCAAAAGCCGACTGCACCACCACCGCCACGACGACGAGCGCCTCTCTTTGGCCGACACCGCTGAACTGCCTCCATTTGACTATGTGAATTGATAAGCGACAATTAGCTGGCAACCCAAATGCGGTCAAAAGTTTAATGTTACTGGGGGGGTTCGGAGGGTGATGGATCTGTTGGGGGTAGAAAACCATGTCACCGGCATCGGCGTTGCCCAGTTGCCGCTCAGTCTTCCACGCGAACAGTCGACTGTATTTGACCGCGCTTCCATTTCCCTGACAGATTTAAGGTTTCTCTCCCCCCGAAAGATCCCGGCCAGATATGCAAATACATTGTAGGCGGCGGACCCTCAGATAAGATAAGCCTGCTCTACGGGAGCGATAATAGTCAGAACTCGGAATTAAAAAGGTGACTGAACCCAGGCAGCTCTGTGATTGAAATGCAGGAATCCGGCAGTTCCTCGGGTCAGGCTGGTGGTCCTTCTTTGTGCCTCGAGTGGAAGCAGCTCAACTACTATGTGCCCGCCCAGGAGCAGAGCAACTATAGCTTCTGGAACGAGTGCCGCAAGAAGCGCGAGTTGTGCATCCTCCAAGACGGTGAGTCCAATGTTTGACTATGGGAATGGGACTGATTTGCGGTTCGATTCAATTCGATTTGCAGCCAGCGGGCACATGAAGACCGGCGACCTCATCGCCATCTTGGGCGGATCCGGTGCCGGTAAGACCACGTTGCTGGCGGCGATTTCGCAACGGCTGCGCGGTAACCTGACCGGGGATGTGGTTTTGAACGGCATGGCCATGGAACGGGATCAGATGACGCGCATCTCCAGCTTTCTGCCTCAGTTCGAGATCAATGTGAAGACGTTTACGGCCTACGAGCATCTCTACTTTATGGTGGGTCCTTTATAGATTTGTCAGACTACCTAATAAAATATTTCGGCAAGCGTAAATTGTTTAATAAACTATTTTATTTGAATTTTGGAGATCAATTTTTTTTTTTTTGTAAATATGGTTTTTCATATAATTTGAGCTAATTTAAATTCTTAATTTGATCTTATTACCATAATAATAACCCAAGAGTCATAAGTAGTTTATAGAAAGAAAAAAAAAAACAATTCTAAAAAACGATATCTCTACCTTAAAAATAATCCCATCTCAAAATCTTAAGATGGTAATGAAGTCTTTTTGGTTTCAATCCTTTTTTTCTACATTTCAAGAACAGTTCATCTCATTATTATTATTACCAGAATAATAACTCAAGAGTCATAAATAGTTAAAAAAAAACCTTTTCTTATAGAAAAGAAAAAAGAACAGTTCTCAAAAGCGATATCTCTATCTTAAAAGTGATCCCATCTCAAATTCTTAAGATAGAAATTAAGTGCTTTTGGTTTGCGGGTTAACGTTTCTCCCTTAAAAAGAAAATCGATCCTTTTTTTCTTTATTTCAAGGTCAGTTCATCCCAAAAATTGGGCTTTATTTTTAAGGAACGATTGTTCTCAAACTAGAAGAACAAAACACTTGATCTTTTTTTCGTTTTTATTTTTTCCTTATGTATTCATTTATAACTCTACCTTTCCTTCCCAGTCCCATTTCAAGATGCACCGTCGCACCACCAAATCAGAGAAACGACAAAGGGTGGCGGATCTCCTTTTGGCAGTGGGTTTACGAGATTCCGCCCACACCCGCATTCAGCAGTTGTCGGGCGGAGAGAGAAAGCGACTCAGTTTGGCCGAGGAGCTGATCACCGATCCCATATTCCTGTTCTGCGATGAACCCACCACTGGATTGGACAGCTTCAGTGCCTACTCGGTGATCAAAACCCTGAGGCACTTGTGCACGAGGCGGCGGATTGCCAAGCACTCCCTGAATCAGGTCTACGGCGAAGACTCCTTCGAGACGCCGAGTGGCGAGAGCAGTGCCAGTGGCAGTGGCAGTAAATCCATCGAAATGGAGGTGGTGGCAGAATCCCACGAGAGTCTTCTAAATGCAATGCGGGATCTGCCGGCGCTGGGAGTCCTGAGCAACAGTCCGAATGGAAGCCACAAGAAGGCGGCAATCTGCTCCATCCACCAGCCCACTTCGGATATCTTTGAGCTCTTCACCCACATTATCCTGATGGATGGAGGTAGGATAGTCTACCAGGGACGCACCGAACAGGCAGCCAAGTTCTTTACAGAGTGAGTCGGTTTTTACTTCCAAAGACTCATTATTAAAAAAACAAGAGAGAAAGCTATAGTCGGGTGCGCCGAATCAGCTAAAGGGAATCGATGGAGATGGATAGATTAAGCTTTGATCGAGCAGAACTTTTTAACAAATGGTCCGATTTGAAAAACTTCTTCTACATTTCGATAGGTATAAATAAACACAACCAAATTGCATTCATACCTCTCCGAAATCTTTAAAAATGTGGGCGCCAGGCCCATACTTTTGCAGGAATACAATATACATTTTTACTCTACAAGTAACGGGTATAAATATAATAATATTATTTTTTCAGCCTGGGATACGAACTCCCCCTGAATTGCAATCCCGCTGATTTCTACCTGAAAACCCTGGCCGATAAGGATGATAAGGAGAATGCTGGGGCTGTTCTCCGGGCGAAGTATGAACACGAGACGGATGGACTCTATAGCGGAAGCTGGCTACTAGCCCGAAATTACAGCGGGGATTACCTAAAACATGTGCAGAATTTGTAAGTACTAATGGGGATTATCAAAAGAACACCTAGTAAATTTTATCATACTTTTTTCAGTAAGAAAATACGCTGGGTATATCAGGTTTACCTGCTAATGGTGCGCTTCATGACCGAGGATTTGAGGAATATCAAGAGTGGCCTCATAGGCTTTGGATTTTTTATGGTAAGTGAACCTCCTCTATAGTTAAAGAATGTATGTATATTTTATGATCTCTACCTATAGATCACTGCCGTCACACTATCCCTCATGTACTCCGGAATTGGTGGTCTAACTCAGAGGACAGTACAGGATGTGGGCGGTTCCATATTTATGCTAAGCAATGAGGTTGGTTTCTTTTTAAAGTATTTTACATTCCATAATTATTATAACCTATCCCACTATAGATGATCTTCACGTTCAGTTATGGAGTGACGTATATTTTCCCCGCTGCTCTGCCCATTATAAGAAGAGAAGTTGGCGAGGGCACCTACAGTTTGTCCGCTTACTACGTGGCTTTGGTGCTCTCCTTCGTTCCGGTGGCCTTCTTTAAAGGATACGTCTTCCTGTCGGTGATCTATGCTTCCATCTACTACACGCGTGGCTTTCTCCTCTACTTGAGTATGGGCTTCCTGATGAGCTTATCCGCGGTGGCAGCCGTCGGCTATGGGGTCTTCCTCTCCAGCCTCTTCGAGTCGGATAAGATGGCCTCCGAGTGCGCGGCGCCCTTCGATCTGATCTTCTTGATTTTCGGAGGAACCTACATGAATGTGGATACGGTGCCTGGCCTGAAGTACTTCTCCCTCTTTTTCTACTCCAACGAGGCACTGATGTATAAATTCTGGATTGACATCGATAATATCGGTGAGTCTTTATCAATAAAAGATCAATTAATCTTTAAATACTAATAATACAATATTTATATTACGATTTCCAGACTGTCCCGTCAACGAGGATCATCCGTGCATCAAGACCGGCCTGGAGGTCCTTCAGCAGGGTTCTTATCGCACCGCCGACTACACCTACTGGCTGGATTGCTTCAGTCTCATGGTGGTGGCAGTCGTATTCCATATAGTCTCCTTTGGGCTAGTGAGACGATACATTCACCGCAGCGGTTACTATTGATTCGGGGGGGCGCTTTTATTATACTAATTTCAGTTTACACTCTTACAGAACTTGATTTCAGCTTAATTTCAGTTGTATCGAGTACACACGCGGTTTAGTTAGTTAAAATTTGTAATTTTTAAGCACAAACTCTTCTTAATACATCTAAACTTCAGTGGAAAATATTGCATTCATCAAACTTGAGTCGCATAAAATAAATCCCATATAGATCCTATATGCCGTTATTAAAAAAAAAAACTATAGTTCAATTTTAACTAAATTTGAGTTCAAGGTAAAGTCTTGGGCGAGTCTAGGGGAAGGCGATCTATAAGATCTATACAAGATGTATTTTACATATATACCTATTTATACGGTTGTCTGCCATTATATGTAAAGTGTTTTTGTTTTTTAAAGAGACCTGGCAGTTAAATAAATTAATCTAAAACAACCAAAAAATAATTGAAACAATAAACGGAGTTAATTTAATGCTTACGCTGGCAAAAGAGCATGGGGAAAATCTGGTTGCCTTGCCACCGTAAGCATTACTTATTTAAACAATGGTCCTTTTTAGCTCTACTGTTTTAGCAGTCAAAGGAAATCTGTCGCTTGGCCTTGCCTCCCGAGTTGTTGCTGTTTCCCACGGGCGGCATTTGGAACTTCCGGGCCGAGCCGTTACTTCCGCCGCCTCCAAAGTAGGGACTGATGTTCTGCTGGTCTTTGCCGGTGAAGTTCTTCTGCGCCGACCGCCGCAACTCGCAGTCCACGTTCTCGCGCAGCGCCAGTCCGCCCAGATTGCTCTTCGACGAGCTGTTCTGCAGCGTGGGATTCGGCCGAATGGGCTGCCGTTCCTTGCTGAACAGATCCTCCGAGATGCGGTCCACTATACTCGATTGCGTATCCGAGCAGTTGTTGGTCGGCAGGCTCATTTGACTCAGACCAAATGAATCGATGGAGTTTTCGCTGCCGAACATGTTGTGCAGGGATCGCACCGAACCGGCTGCTGCCGATCCTGCTGCGGATGTCTGAGAAAGCAGCAGCTTGCGCTGGGCAAACTCCTCGGGACCGATGTAGCCCGAAAGACGGGTGCTCGACAGCCGCTTGGCCTCGGTCTCCTGACTGCGCGCCTGCAGGTAAACGTCATCCGCGTTCTTGCCACCAATCACGCTAAAGGCAAACTTCTTGGCCAGTCTGTAGGAAATATAGAGTTTAAATAAAACGTATAATATAAATATTCGGACACCAAACTCACCTTAGCAACGTTTCGCTATTGCTGGACGAGTGACCCAGGTAGAATTCCTGGAAAATGCGCTTCACAATGCGCGTTAGGTCGGCCGCATGCTGACGGAAATGCTCGTGCTTCGGTGTAATTTTCCTCTCCTGCAGCGCCTGTGACACGGCCCAAAGCAGTTTCTGTGGCAATAAACATAATAAGTTATGACTTTTATAGTGAACAAATCTTAGGGGTTGAAACTAGAGCCCTGCATGAAGGGATTAAATTGATTATTTTGAATTTTTTGTTTTAAATGAATGAATTAATTAGAATTTTGAGTTTAATAGTATTGAATGAATTTGAATTTTGAGTTTAATAGAATTGAATGAATGGCATGAATTCCGAAATAATTCAAACGACCATTTCTTTTAAAGAAGAAAGGGCCATAATTTTGTGATTAAATCTGCCTGAATTTTAGTTTCTAAGTAGTTAACATTGAGTTTTTAAAAAATGTGGCAAATTCAAAAAATTCATAAAAATTATTCATTCAATTCGAAATGAATTAGGAAAACATTTAATTTATTTCACATAGAATTGAATTAAACAAATCAGAAATTTCATGATAAAACAAAAATTGAATGATTCACGCATTACTTCATGAGGCAGTTGAGTTTTGGAATCTTAAATTATTAAAATATGTAGAATATTGTAATTTAATGGTAAATGGGCTAATTTTAAACTTTAAGGGCCGTTTTCTTGTCCGCCTGTTAAATTTAAAGTACGGTTAAACCCATGAAATTGTATGAAAAATCGCAGTTTAACCTTCCTTTAAATTTAACAGACGGACGAGAAAACGGCCCTAAATAAAGATAAAGACGTTAAAATTTACCTTTCGCTGGTTATCCGTCATACTGCTGTTCGGAGTGGCGCTCATTTCCGATTGCGCTCGCTGCAGTTTACTCGCCAGAGGCGTACCGCTTGCAAACGAGGTGGAGTTCACCAGGTTGCTACTGCTGCCGCTGAGCCCAAGACTGAGCCGCGATTGGCCAGCGGTAGCAGTGGTTTGCTGCGCCAACTTTAGCTGAACACCCGCCGTGGAGGAACCAGCTCCAATGCAGAAGCTCTGACTCTTGATCTTCAGAGCGCGAGGCGTCAGCCCACTGGGCCCACTGCTCTCGGCCCGGAAGAGCTTGCTGCTCTGGCTAGCCATGTCAGCGGAGTCCTCGTCGTCGCAGGCGTTCCTCTTTCGCTTCAGCAGCGATTCCAGCTGATTACTAGTGCCCTGATGATCGGGCGAAAAGAGGGCCCGCTTCGATCGCTCCACGCGATTCGCAATCTCCGGCTTAAAGAGCGGCTTGGGCGGCATAAGTTGCTGCTGTTGCTGGAGCGTCTTGGCCGGGCTTTGGAATAGGGCACGCTTGGAGGTCTCCCTCGAAGGTCCTGGCTTGATGAGATCGGTGCGATAGAGATGCTTACGGGCAGATGAAGATGGCGTCTTGCGGGCTATTGAAAAAGCAACAATTAATTTCGAACTTCACTCGCTTATCTTATCAAACAACTCACTTTTCTTCTTGCTGCCCGGCGTCTTTCGTTTGGGCGTGGCCTTTCGCTTATTTCGCGCTTTTCTGTAATTGAAATGCATACAATTTATTTTGTGTTTGGAACTAGTAATCAATAGACATCGGATTTTAGGTGAAATGGTTTTTTTTTACGTTTTAAAGCCACATTTGATTGGTTAACATTTTTTTACAAAAACCTCAATTATAACTTAACAAACAAAATTTGTAATCAATCAAATGTGGCTTTAAATCGTATTTGAAAAAATCGATTTCACCTAAAATCCAATGTCTAGTAATCATTAAGGTTACTTACTTCTTATCCAGCACTATTTGTGGTCCAATTGAGCTGTTGAGCTTCTGTGAATTAGTGGCCAGATTTGCAGAGGAAAATATGGCACGGCGCTTGGCCAGGTGACTTAGGCGATTGCCAGGCGATTGGGTTAGCATTCTGTGGGAAAAAGTGTTTAATAAGTAATCTGAACTCTAGTTAATCCAGTTAACTACTCACTTCATACGCATGTTACGCTTTTTGGCGCTCGAGGGGGATCGAACGTAGGAAGTGGCGGTTTCCACGCCCACATATCGATCCACCACGGACATGCTGAGGTATTCATTTTGTTCGGCAGCCTTGTTTAGATTGTAGCTATAAAATAAAAATAATTAATTGAATTTAACTAACATAAATCCAAAGTTTAAGGGGCTTACCTTAGTCCATGATGTCTCACTCCCAGCACCTCCCGCCAGCCCATATTTTGAGCCTCCGAGAGACTGTGAGTGGGTCGAAACAACGAGGTTGATTCGCTAATGCCACTATCCTCAATTGTGGGCGTTGAAGCGGGCGCATCTTTAGACAAAAAGTTCAGTACATTCGCCTTCATGCCGAGCACCATTTTGATGACATCCACATCGGGTGTGGTCACCGTGGGCGGCGGACGGACGCCCTGCAGACAGCGCCGTATCCGCCGATAGAGTTCCCGCTCTCGCCGGCAGTTCTCCAAGAAATGCGAACGCGGATCATTGGCATTTAGCTGGGTGGCCGAGAGGTCCATTGTCTGCTCGTCCACGAAGCTGGATTCGGTGGGCGCGTTCAGCGAGCAGCGGGCGCGCACATCGCTGGTGCACTGCGACTCCTCCAGGACCTCAGGGAGATCCTCCAGCCTCGTGGCGCGTTCCTTTTCCAACTGCTCATCGTTCTCCGCATCCTCGTCGCTGTCGGCAAAGAGATCGGGCGATCGTTCGTTGTTGAACTTCTGCAGCGAGGTTTCCAGAACGTTGGAGGGTCGTGGGGGATTTGGATTGGAGGTTCCTGGCTGCTCCTCTGGTCTCGCAGTCAGACTTTTGATTTTGCCATCGAAGGAGAGGCTGCCCGTTGTCGTGGTGGAAGTTATGGCCACCGAAACGGCCATGTCCACGGCATTGCAGCTGTTCTCCTCGATGAGGGTGTCGTAGAACCGGGGAAAGACGATCTTTCCCGGCGAGGGGCGACGGACGGCAGGCGGGGGAGGCTCCACCTCGGGCAGCTTGAGGTTCTGCAGCTGGGAGCCATACAAACGCTTGTTCACCTGGCCATATGGACTGTCGCCGAAGCCAAGGAACTGGGATTCCTGGCTGCCTGGCTTTTGGTTGGGTGGCGTTGGGGTTTCGCTAGTCAGTGGTTTTGGTTTCATCAGATACGGCAGATTCATGTGCTCCTCGTCAGATATTTGGCCCTCATTGTTTTCACTGAGCGAAGACTGTAATTTATAGGGAATTTAAGTACTTTTACCTTGTTAAGTAAGCAATTAATCTTACCCCGCTTCCTGTGGAAGGCTCCGATTCGTAGCTGTTGTTTATTTTATTCCTAATCGAGTTGCTGGTGGCCATTCTTTGAATAAAAATAGATTTTTTGTTGTAGTTTATAGCCTCTGGTTATTTTCGGCACGCGGCATTTTTGTACAGGCTCGCTGAAGTTTTGGGGGCTCTATTTGCACTGCGGGCCCCTCAAAAACCGAAAAAACGAAAGCGAAAGTACACAAGGGCTCGAGTGACGATGATTTTCTTATCTCAGGCGCCTAATCAATCTGGATGAAAGTGCATTTACCTTTTGGAAATGTGGCACTTTTCCCCAGGTCGTGGGAAAACTAAGCCGCCCAAGCGAAAAACGCGCGTAGAAACGCAAGTTTTGCGGGCATTTATTGTTGTTGTTTCGCACAATCCGAGCTCCAGCTAAATGTCCAGTTGTACGCGCGACCCTTAAGTACTTAATTCATCTTAACTTTTGACTTAAAAGCACCTTTAATAAGTTAATTTAGTCGTAAAACACTGTTGTTAAATTTGTATCTCTGCACGAACATCTGCCCGATTTTGGCGGTGGTACTAACGCGTCTGGGAAATGCCCATAGTGATGGGCGATAGTTTTGTCACCAAGCGGTGATCACGGTCGTGATTTTTGATATGTTTCAAATATTTTGTATGTTTATTAAATTTGTGCACTACTTGCTTTAAAAAATATGTTCAATTAATTAACACAATTAAACAAATTATATTTTTCAAGACAAAATAAATTGTTACACTCGGGACTTTAAAAAAAGCATAAAAAACTATTATTTGTATTCGATAGTTGATTCTTTGGCTTTACCTTTACATTTAAAAAAAATGTAAGGAGTAATTTATTTATATATTTTAAAAGTAATAATGCTTAAAAAATGAATTCTCTTTTCTATAGTTTTTCTCATTCGATAGTTTCTGTACCGCGACGCTTTGATTGCCGAACTATCGGAGCTACCACCGCAACTATCGTCTCTAGGGTCAGCCCTGGTAATCAGCTGTCTGCATATAACATCGCACAATAACAACAAGCGTTTAAATTTATTAAATCTTTTATCTTTGCTGGCTGCCTGCGCGCTTTTAAACGTAGCGCCCGTTTTGAAAATCCCCACCGAGTGCGATAAATTCAGTTGTGACCCAGAGACTGTACGCTGCGGGCCGTTAAAAGGCTTTAATTATCGCTTTTCAGTTAGTGGCCCTATTTGCCAACAGCAACAAAAACAAAAACCGAGCCAATAACACATCATCTCTTATCCATTCTACGGACAACGTCACTCAACCCAACGAAAGCGATGCGATTAACCCGCTAATCTCGGCGAAGATGCGCGGAATCGAGGGCAAAGTGGTTGTTCTAGGCTCGCGAGGTAAGAATACCCGCCCTGACCTCAGTATAAATGCCTCTTTGGGACCCATTCACAAAGGCCCGATGATCCGTAAAATGCAAGTAATTCCTGCAATTGCCCAGTGATAAGAATAATACGCGGGTTGAGCCGATAAGCCGCAGCCTTGAACTGCACTGCCCCCAATTGGGAAGACGAGTCTGCAATCTGGACTCTGGAATCGGGTTGATGGTGGAGAAAGGCTTAAAAGACAAAGTGTCTGGTTGAGTTGCAGCTTATCTCGCCTGAATTCTTCATGACTGACGAAATCTACACAAATTTAGAAAAATCTATAAACAATTTTGTTTTTACAGAATACTAGGCTTTTTCAAAACCTAAAATTTGGTACAATCCCAATTTCGAAATTCCAACCATATTAGCAGTTATGCATTTAATAGATCTAATATTTTTGAGATCTTTAGAGAAAATATTTGTTTTTCTGTTTTAAAAATGTTCTAATATTTTTAAAAAGTATATTTTAAAGACTTCCCATTTTTAATATATAATTTCCTAATTATAATCAATAACAAAAGCTTTTTCCAGTGTAATAGCCTGTTGAATAGCAATGAAAATATTTAAGTTTGCCACAAGGTCAAGCTAAGTTTACCTAGACGCCTATGTAGCTTATATATAAATTTCAGTCTACATATGCGCTTGATTTTCGCCAAACAAAGGCCTGCATTGATAAAAAAGGCGGTACTTTCCTCAAGATATAAAAATATGTTCTTCCCCATTATCATTGGGTGATTCAGTGCATATGTAAACTGCAGCTATAGGTACAGATTCAATGTCCGATCAGTCATAAGGGGGGCTTTTCTGAACCGCAAAAGTGTGTTCAAAACAAAGACTCTCGTGGTCGGTGCGCGATTTCCTTATCAGTGTTTACCACCTTCTCTAAATATGCTGCGTCTCCAATTTTTTTGTTTATTTTACTTACTTTGCCATGATTAATCAGTGGTCAATTAATGCGTGCGCCATGGCGCGTTCACTGAATTCAAGCTGATAAGCTGCAAGGTGTTATATTTGAAACAAAATAGAGCTCACGGGTACACAGGGAAATAAAGTTGTTAGTTTGTAAAATTAATGGGAAACTTTTGTGTTGTATAATACATATTTTATTATATTTTTATTATTTCAAGTTGAGCTGTTAATAATGGAAATTCTAGTAACAGAGAAATATAGTTTTTGATTTGTAAAATTAATGGGAAACTTTTGTGTTGTATAATACAACTTTTATTATATTTTTATTATTTCAAGTCAAGCTGTTAATAATGGAAATTTTAGACATATTTTTCACAGCTAAAATTTAATTATCATATTTTGAAAATTAAAACAAAGAAGTATTATAAGTATTTTTTAAATATTTAGTTAAAACTTTATGTCTGATTTATTAAAATAAATAAATGTTAATAGATATATTTATGAATTTCAAACGCTTACTAATCTAATTTTAATCCGTAAGGTTACAAAGGACAAAAAGATCTAAAAAATTAGGTTATACAAATTTATTAATTTATTTTTTTAATTTATTGACCAACGTTTTTTTCTACTCTAGGTGTGGGCAAAACGCGTTTGGTCATCAGGTACATAAAGAACACCTTGCACAGGAGCGAGAGCGAGGTGCCGACGATAGCTGTGTCCTTCTTCACGTGCAACATCATCCTGGACGAGGTCAAAATTAAATTGCAAGTGCGTATCCAGCAGTAACCAGTGGCCACTAGCCAGCATATGTATCAGTGCACCCAACTCTTTTGGGGGGCAAACGCAAATGGAATTGCCTCGTAAAAAAGCCGAAGCCAAAGGCAAAGCCAAAGGAATTTGCCACTGGCCCACGCCCACTAATCCTATTTGCCGGCTTGGCTGCCGGGAACGCTAATCTGGGTTTATTCTGCCACTGGCTGCGCCACGCGGATCCTGTTTTTGTCCTCCGCCGCCTTCGCCTCCGCCCCACTGTTTCGGTCACTTTATTTGTTTTTTTATTTTGCAATTTCTGCGTCCGCTGCACTTTGTGTGTTATTCGCTCTTTTTTTTTAGCGCGCTTTCTATTTTTTTTATAGTTTATTGATAAGCTAAACGAGAGCGGGAGCAGCTTCCCATATTGCGAAAGGGTTACCCACCCACTTGGCCCTGGCTGCCATATTTACTCTTGGGTGATTTCGATTTTATACGCAGCCATATAACAATGGCCACTACAATAACAGGACGCGTACTGTTCAACGCCGGTCTATTTTTACCCTAACAGGATTTATGGCATCTATAGGTTGTATAGATTTTTTGAGGTTCCAAAGAAACTGTGTGAAAAAAATTTTTAAATAATCTAGTCTATGTATAAAAGAACGTAATGCACATTTACTATTTTAGTTTATAACAATTAGGAAAGGTGTTAACTTCCTTTTTTATTAATACAAAAATGTAACGAATTAAAGAAGCTTGTATCATTAAGAAAGCTTTTCTAAAGCGTTTCCTTTAATGTATGCCAAATGAAATAAGAAGCAGGTCAGATTTGTTTTCTCCCCGGTTGACCTTTATCCCTACCCCAGATTGAGTTTCGCCAGACCAGCAGAAATAGTCGTCGTCTGAGCACAATAAGTATGAATACATAATAGGATATAGTTTTCGGATTCCGCTTGTTAGTTTCGCATGCGGGGCTCTTTGTTTCTTTTGTGAGATTTTGTGTGCTTCGATTTAGTTTCGCCAATGAACATGTCGTTGCCCCAAAATTTTTATGAAGCGCATAAAGCGGAGAGTCCCCTCGAAAAGACCTGAAGAATATGATTGTTATTGCTGTGGGAAAAGGCGACCATAAAGAACCGCAATTGCAGAATAAGCGCTGAATGACTCAATTAAAGTTCAAGTGTAAGCGAACGAACTCTAACCACTGGTCACTTGCTCTTCTATTTTGTAGATCTGGGACACAGCTGGCCAGGAGCGCTATCGGGCGGTGGCGCCCATGTATTATAGGAACGCCAATGCTGCCATTCTGGTCTTCGATCTGACGCAATACAAGACCTTCACGGAGATCAAGTCGTGGATACAGGAGCTGCATCGCAATGTCCAGGATCCGATGATACTGACGCTGGTGGGGAATAAGATGGATATGCAGCAGCAGCGAGCTGTTTCGCGGGAGGAGGCTTTCGTGTTTGCCACCTCCATTGGGGCCACCTACTTTGAGACCTCCACGGAAACGGATCAGGGACTGGAGCAGGTCTTTATCTCCACGGCCCAGGGATTGGTTCGCCTGGCGGACGAGGGCAAGAGCCCCTCGCTGCGTTCCTTTGAGTCGAGTGATTCGCTGGCCTACACCAACACCAACACTGCCTTCAGCCACACGGTGGCCGCCTTGGCCAGAAGTCCGGGTAACGCCGCCTTCCGTCTGCCCTACGTGGATATTGGCCTGGCCGTGGAGGGCGAGGACGTGAAGACCAATGGCGTGGGACGGCTGGAGACGGCGCCCTGGAGCATCGAGCACATTGCCCTCGGCGAGGTGGAGCGGCCCAGCTGGTGCTGCTACTAAGATCTACACATTTACGATCCCTAGGATCCAATATCTGTGAAAGAACCAATGTGATGTCAACAGAACCAGACTGTAGTTCGAATACCGGCCTAAAAAGCCAACCAGCATCGTTTAAGCAATGAACCAACCCAACTCTAGATATGCAAAGACCAAAACCAGCCGACACAAAAGCAAGAAGCTATGTATTAATACACTGATTAGGCTAGATCCACACGATCCACTCGATCCACTGACAAGGCGCTGGGATAATCCGCTTCATCGTAATCTTAACTCTAGATCCTAAGTGTAAACAGCAATTGCCGCGTGCATATTATGACTTTATATATTTCTGTGTCTCGCTCTAAGCCCATTTGACTTACCAATCATAAGATTAACTCACACACAAGAACAGGGAACAACACGAACACTCACAACAACACTCATTCACGAAACACCAATTCATGTACAAAGCATTTTATACTGCATGCATATAGTAAATATAAATGTAATAATGTATTCAAAGGGCGCTTTGTCATTTCGG